GACCAGACTAGACTAGTAGCACTATGTAGCAGTATATGGTTGCACACAGGGCAACTAAAAATTTTACCTCCCTCACTGCAACCATTTTGGTTGCGCATGTGACAACACACTTATGTGCCTTGCCCTGAGTGCAACCAACAAGAAATCAGACTTGTCTATCGCATTTAACACATTTCACAGTGTTTACAGTCTATTTTAACCTTTACACAACCTCATTACAACGTTTGCAACTCATTCACGCCAAATACTAAGCATAAATAACACAGTCAACAACTTACCTTAAAATTTCACAAACAGATGTTTTTTTTCCGTCGAACTTTCGCTGTTGATACCGGCTTACAAAATGGCTGTAAATGATCCGGAAGTAAAAGAAGCTAAAAGGTAGACCAAAGGGAGTCTACTGAGTATATCTTTGTTTTAATATATCGCCTACATCGAGAGTTAAGTAAAGTGGTTGCTCAAAGGACTGGTTGCACAGGGGGCGAGTTACTCTACGTAGAATCGCCCGACCATATCATATATGGTTTCAGTGGAAAGCTTTATTTCTCAGAATTTAGATAAATATTGCTTCCTGTCATTTATAAAAGTAACCGAACATTTCTATCGGTTTTGAATAATGGTTAAAAAATGTAATTCTGACGCATCAATGGGATTAGTTACACGTGTGGAAAATGTGCGTGTGATCGGTTATCATTTTATGAAATTCCGTTAGACCGAGCGGTGTGTGCTCTTTAAATATGCACTTTTTCAATTTGGTGTCAGCCCCTGGGATGGTGTCACGCACTGTGTTCCGCACCCCTGCTACGTCACTGGTGAAACATATAAATGGATAAAAAGACTCTTTTTTTTAAAACAGTGTTTTTCTGAACTAAACCTCATTTCTGACGCATCAACATATAACTTTTAATAAAGCACGCATTGGGATTGGTTACATGTGTGGAAAATGTATGTGTGGTTGGTTATCCTTTTATGAAAATCGGTTGGACCGAGCAATGTGTGCTCTGTAAATGTGAAATTTTTCAATTGGGTGTCATCCCCTGAGATGGTGACACCCGGTGCGGTCCACACACCCCGCTACGCCACTGGTTGCGAAAGACAAAAGTTTGATTCAAAAATCCAGAAATGCATTTTTCTGGGGAACGGAATCGGTGTCAAAGGTTAAGGCCTATACAATTTGAAAACTAATAGAATGATCTACAGCAGAGGCGTGAGGCGAGAAGAACAGACAGACGAAACCATTAAAATTAGAAACCACACTTTTGAAAAAGTAAATCAATTTTAATACCTATGATTCTTAATAAATGAAATACATGAATTACTAACAGAAATAAATGAAAGAATATCGACCAGAAACAGGGCATACTACAGAAGCCACAAAACAAAGTCGTCGTGGGCCGCTAAATCTGAAACAGCCTAAAAGTATACTCAGACTAGTTGTAACGTATGCATATGAAACTTTGACCCTAACACTGTTACTCCTGTCTGATGGATTCTGCTTCTATACTTTTGTCCCATTTTTGTAGACCAAAAATAAACACAATCTGTTTTATCCCCCTTTCCTCTTTTAAAAAAAAAACTCAGATTGGAAGCAATTTTTTCCTACCCCCAGTTTAAATGATAATGGGGGATGGAGTCTACCCAATAATCTTACAGAGTGGAGGGAATGCTAATATTTTATTGGTGTCCTGGCCAACAGACTAGCACCAAACTCCATCAATCTTTTATTTTGTACATTATTTTTCATCGCGGTCAAATGAGTTACGTGACCCAACACCTTTGCAACATTGATAAATTATAAACATTGAAACAAATCATAAGTCCCGTCTGGGCTCACTTCAATAAAAAGGCGCAATAGATGTGTCCAAAAGGGCTATTGTTTTTAAACTAGATTTATTTCCGTACTCACTATCAGTTCATTACCAATTCAAAGTTTTAATTGGCACTTCATACAGAATAATTTAAATTATTTTGAAATCATTTGAAATTTTTTTGTTCCCCCTTGTTTGTTGAAAAAAAAAAAATGAAATATGTGGACAAGTTCGTTGATTTATTTTTTAATTTCTTGATTATTACTATTATATTCATAATATGACTACAAGACAGGGATTTTTTTTAACCACGAAGTTCTACTTGATGTTTCTAAGCCTAAAACGCGTAACATCTTCCATACCCCCCCCCCCCCNAATAATCATCTAGTTCGTCGCTGCCTCCCAGCCACCTCATTCATCTCATTATGGGGCTAAGACCTGTGGACATTGATGTTAGAATACCCCATAAAACTAGACAAAATAAACTTCCCAAAGAGCACAGTCAGTTTAAGAAAAAAAAAAAAAGAAAAAAAATGCTTTTCCTCTATATTAATCCTATCTGGCAGAAGTAAAAAAAAATTGACTAGTTACTAAAGAGTATCGCGACTACCTGGCAAAGTGCGAAATTTGAAATCGTCATGATTGTGGGTTTGATAATACTATACTGTTATTATGTTACATTGTCCAGGTCTGGAATAAAAAGCAACTTAAGGTAGCATTTTTTTTTTATTTTAAGAGATATAGTACATACGAAGTCGTTGACTTTAATGATTTTAAGATAGAGAATAGCGTAGTAAGTTTATAAGGATTAGTAGGTGTCGATCCTGACCCTGGTCGCGTCCACCAGTCCAGTCTCATAGTCAGTACTCAGTACTGTACTCGACTCGTGTAGTGAGTGTAATAGTAATAGTAATAGTAATAGTCACTAAATGTCGAAATTAAATAGACTTAAGTACCATTGTGAATTAATTAATCAGTAAAGTCTGAAATGAATAACTGATTTTTTTTATCATCATAGTCATAGGTTTCAAAATATGCCAAAACATTTTTAAAAATATAAAAATACTACAGCTGTATAGAGCCTGGAGTATAGATTACAAAAACACCAAGATCAACTTTCTAGCTCAAGTGGTTCAAAAGTTATGAATTTTTTAGTAGGGACCTCAAAGGCACTTTTTTACTATGGGATTTTCCTCCACATTTCGTGACCCTCAATTTGCTTTTTTTTGAATGCCTATAACTTTATTGTAAAATGAGACAAAAATATTAGCACTGAGCCTATTTCACTTATGACTTATCTTATAAATATAACCCATCACCATGCCATGATGATGCCATCGTAGTCATAGGCTTAGGGTCGGCCCAAATAAGTCAGAACAATCAGTCCTACCAGTAGTAGTATTAGTACTACTAAACTAGTCAATAAAAACTAGGAATTCAATCTATGTGATTCGATCAATCAAGTTCAATACAGTTACAGTTCATACAGTTTTGCAGTTCAATAATGTTTTACCACGTAATAATAATAATAAAGTGTATTTATCCCCAAAGGCCCGAAGCGCTGTACAAAAGTAAAAAAATAAAAAATAATCTATAATTTACCACATTTAAAACAAATGCCAATGCCACACTACAAAAACTAATTACAAGCATACCAAGTCAAAGTCTTTCTACCCATTTCAACCCTAAGCAACACAGCCAATATGCATTAAATGGAAAATATGGTAGACAATCATCCCAGAAGGTGTTTGCGAAATAGATGTGTCTTTAAATCAGTTTTAAAGGACTCCAGTGTCTGATTGTTTCTGAGATCGATTGGAAGGGCGTTCCAAATTGTTGGACCAGCAAATGCGAAAGTGCGCTTTCCGTAAGTCTCAAGGGGAACACGTGGTGTCGAGAGTTTGCCACTATCGGATGAGCGGAGCTCTCTAGTGGGTACATAAGGCGTCAGCAGCTCTTTCAGATAGGACGGCGCCAGGTCATGTAAGCAGCGGTAGCACAAAGTTGCGATTTTGTACTCTATGCGAGCACGGATCAGCAGTCAGTGCAACTCTCTCAGAAGTGTTTTAGCATGGTTGAACTTGCGTTTGCGGAGAACCATGCAAGACGCATTATTCTGTGCTAATTGAATTTTATCCAGGAGCGTAGCCCTATGTACGTGATCAAATGTGAAAATTGTTATTCAGCAACTTCAAGTACTGTCTGAAAATCATTGAAAATGTGTTCTTTGGTTGTGGCTAAACTTCAAGCGCTGGAAATCCTGACCCAGGCCTAAGACCTCGGGATCCCATTTCCAATGAGATACTGTTCCCGGGGGGATCCCCTGCCCCACCCAATTTCCCATATAGGATCTATTTTCCCAATGGGATCCTGTTCCCAGTGGGATCTTGTACTCGGATGGGATCTCATTCCCCAAGCCCAATGCAATGTTATCCCATTCCCGGTTTGATCCAATTACTGGTTGGATCAAGTTCTCTGATCGATCCTATGCCTATATTCCCTATGTGATCCCATTCATGTGGGGATTTATTCTCTGTTGTGATGCTGATACCACTTTGGATCATGTTTTCTTGTAGGATTGTGTTCCGTGTTAGGATCCTGTTCCTCTGTGGGATTATGAAAGGTATATTTACCAATTTTGGCCAAGAACCATCAGTACTCATATAGAACTGTATACTGATACTGTAATCTAAGACTTCATTTATTTATAATAGCCTAGGCCATAATAAAGGACAATTAATTTGGAATTTTTTAGAAACTTAAAAATTATCTTTAATTTAATCCTTATTCCATAAAATGAAAGTTACTGAAACATAAAATGATACAGGCATTTATTTAAATTATCTTAAAACGATTAGAGGACAAAAATCAAAGCTTCTAAGGCTTCTTGAATAATCAATATTATTATATCTAGAAACTTCATGAAACATATAATATGTAAAAAGATGACTCTGTGATATTTAGTAAATTAAAGATAATTTTTAAGTTACAAAATTCCCAGGAAAGTATAGAAATGAATAGAATTTAACTAACATTCAGTTTGGCGACATTGAACTCTAATTGAGGTTCCCGACCGCACAGCTGCTACACTGGATTCTTTTATTTAAAGATATAATATATCCTCCTGATGGCTGGGCAGCATATGCACATATTAACAGCATCACCAATGTCATTTTCATGCACGTCGTTGTCCATTAACGTAACTTCACCGATCCTGTGGATATCGATGTTCACAACGAAAATGTGGAGAACATAGGGATGCGAGTAAAGTGCAAACTGCACAAACTTCACCGTCCTTCACCGTCAGTTCTGAAACATCTTGTGAACTCTTCCAGTCATATCTTCATGAATTTGAATTCCAAAACAAGTTCTTCAACCAAGATATGTTTGTGACATTCCAGAAGATCATCACAGATAACTATCCAGTTTGAATCTCCTCAGATAACATGATATATTTCTGATATTAAACTGTTGTTTTATGCTAATATTTCTGATATAACTGTTGTTTTATTTATGCTCTTCATCGACATGATATATTTCTTTATAATAACTGTTGTTTTATTTTTGCCAAACATCAATGAATATTGTAATATAATATAAATTTAATTTCTTTTTTGGGAACATGCTTTCAGTTTGAAAATTGTATTTAGCATACTAACTTATGTGAAAAATTCTGGCATGGAGGGTGAATAAAAGTAACACCCTGTTTATTTTATTTTATATTATTTATTTTTTATATTGCTTGTCCTTTGTAGGCTTCAACTTGAGTATTAATTTTGACTTGAGTAGTATAATTTTGTATAAAGTGAGGGAGAGTTGCTCATTTTGTCAGTCTCACTCTCTCTCATCCTTGCCTATTTGTTCCAATGGCAAGACTTAGTTGAGAAAACTGGAAATAGACAAGGATGCAGTAGATGACCAAGAGTGTTTCTTGTGTTACACGGTGCTCTTTATGCATTCCACTTCGCAGGAGTTGTTGGAAGTTTCATTGTGTCAATGTCATACCGCCTACAGGAGTTCATCCCTGAGTTTGATTTCAGAGTTTGCCTTCTCTTAGATGAGTTGCCATCCAAGGTTAACAAGTCTCATACAAGCAATTAATCTGCAAGACAACTCTATTTATTTAGATATTTGGATTTATTCCAATTATAATTGCAGGTAGCTCACACTGAAAAAGTTTTAGAATATGATACTTTTTCCTGAATTGTAATGCATTTTCTATCACATTCAGAATATTTAAAAAATCTGCGAAGAGAAGATCTGCACCATAGCTGTTACTTCAGTTACTTTAGAAGTTAATAATAACCATTTTTGCACAAAATTATTTTAACTCAAACAATATGTCACAATGTCAATTATTTTATGTGGATGTTGCTGCTGCGGCAGCTGCATGAACGGCAGTAAAGGTTGACTTGTTGGGGTTAAAAAGTGATGGCAGGGTTTCTGATTCTCTCCAAATGCAGCTAGCACTGTTTCTGTATCTCTTGATTTGTCAAGACGCCAAGGAATGCTCCATTGAACAGTACCAAACAAAACCTTAGCATGCCATTAATCAGCCAAGCTTACGAAAAGATGATGTGATAAAAAATGGCCTTTTTGTGTGCCCAAATTTGTTTTAGTTCGTAATTTAGGGATTAACCAATTTTTGTAGCTTTTATACCCTTTAACTAAACTATAAATTTTCTTTTCTTTTGCAGTAAGAATTTGCATGTAAAAGTTGAACACAATGAGTTGGGCATCAGATGAGTGGAAAGATGGCCTGCCCCAAAAAGCCTTAGTAAAGATTAACCAACTTGAGTCTCAATTAGAGAGGTTGAAGAAAGAAAAAGATCAAAAACAGTTTCAGTTAGAAAGCTTGGAACAGGTGTGACTTCATTTATTTTTATCAATTTAGTATTTAGACCTCTTTTATTTTTAAAACCTATGATTCAAGGCAATAAGTAGCATGGTTATTTGAGAGGATGCTTTGTAAATGGAATGTGAGTTTTAAAAAAAAAAACATTTCCCCAAAACATTAAAAAAATTAAAAATAAAGTTATTAATTGGTAAGATTACAGCTATTTTGTTTAGTGCTTTGTAAAGTAACAATACTCTGGAGCTTCCAGAATATTTTTTAAACTGGGGTTTCCCCTTCCTCGACAAAACTTGCCCTACTGGGCTGATGAATTTTATCTGGTCAGCTATTCATTTTGCCTTTACCAATGGATGATCAAATCAAGGAATTGGAACTCACTGCCTCTTGGTTGTGAGGAAGGCAGCATTACCATTCCACCAGAGGAAAGCAAAATGTGATAATATAGTTAATTGAGAACATCAGCCCTGTTACAAAACTGTAATGTTTGTTGCCTGCCCCATGACCAAAAGATGGTGGGTGAATCCCGGTTTTGGTGGTCTGTAGCCAAGGGTTAACAGCCAGTCGGAAATAAACTCATTAGTCAAGTATGGCAGATGTTCTTGGGGAAGAGATAGTGAACAGAATACACTAAGTAGTTCTAGTCTTGACAGTTAAGTTACAGCTGCCAGAACTCTAATCCTGGAACTTGATAAACATAGAGGCGGAAAAGGCCACCCCCAAAACATTTTTATATTTAACAATTATAATAATTTTATAATGAGTTGTGACGATTTCAAATAGATTTTTATAAATTAAACATTAGTATTTTGACTAGACATTAATATGTTGAAATGTTCTGTTTTTTTAATATTTTGTACCAATTCTAGCAGACTAGAGACGGTTACGCAGACATATTGTGCAGATCTGCTTCATTTCCTTTGAATGAAATATTGCAATCAAAACATGAGATGTGTTATTATTAGATATTGGTTTATTAGTTCAGTAACATTTCAAGAAAGAAATCGTTAATGTAACTTGATTTTTAAATAGGAATTACCATTAAAAAAACTGTAAATTGTGAATATGAAATGTTGAGCAGATTAAATGGATTTATTTATATCATTACTGTATGTTCACTATTTAAAGACACTCGAAGTTCATAAACGCAAGGGAAGCAATGAAAAGTCTGAACTGAGTGAACTTAAAAGGGAAAACCAGGCTCTCTCTGAGACATGTCAGGATTTGGAGAAGAAACGACTAAAATTGGCAAATGACCTACTGGTAAAGGAAAATCAAGTAACAAGTCTAGAACAGAAAGTGGTCAAGTTGAGTGGGCATCAAGATGCTGGGAAGGTGAATTTGCTAAGAAGAGATATGTCAACTTGTAATAATTATATATTCTTATATATATTGATATAAATTGTTCATTGTTAATGTATTATAATTTTCTTTTCATCCTTACGAAATGTTTTTAAATTTATCTCAGGGTGATAGCATAATTACTACTGGTAGTAATCTGTCTTGTGAACAGATTAAAGTTCTGGAAGATGAAATAAAAAGCTTGCGACAACAATTAGGGGAAAAACAAATTGAACATGTCTCTGTTAATGCATCCAAAGGGAAAAGTTCAGGTCAGTTAGAAAATTTGTAAAGAATATTAAAGGATACTTAATTTTTCATGTCATTTACTTTTTAACTTTTGGTTGGCTTTTTGAGAGTTCAGTTTGCTTCACCTGGTAGGCTTTTCTTATCTCTTTTAACAGTAAAGATATTACCTAATTTGTTTGGTTGTTTTAAATAATAGATCCCTGATTCTTGTTTTATTTTAAACAAATTTACCCTTTGTATTTAGTCACAACTTTTTATTTTTTTTTCTAAGATGTCTAAATGATTTACAAAATGTATGCATATTAGGAGGAAAAAAATGATATAAGAAAATATATATATAATAATATAAATTTAGAAAGAAAAAACAGTTTTAAGTCAGGTATTTTGATATTTTCTTCGCTTGCTAGGTGATGAGATACCCAAGCAATCAAGACATTTATCAGATGTTGATGAGTTACGGAAAACCCAACAGGAGTTGAGATCCCTTCAGGCTTCGGTTGGTACATTTAGTCTAAATTATGTTACTTTGATATTTTGTGACATATTTTCCTAAGCTTAGGTTAGTTTTTATCATTAAAGAACAAAATAACTGTTTCACCTATGCATAGTCTTTGTACCGTTACTGGTAGTATCATGTTTTGCACTAAAATGCATTCTCTACTAGATGAAACTGTTTAATAAACTAGTTGTATCCAATGTTTTTAATACAAAGGGCCCCACAAGAAAACAAATACAAAATTGTATTGAAAATAATTTATTCAAATTTGTTATGCAACAGTAATGGCATGATGCACTGACCCAGGTCTAGACAGAAATAGTAAAAGATATAAGATACACAAGTTAATCATTTTAAAGATCACATTATGAATTAGCAGCTTTCTTCTATAATTTTAAGTATTTTCATCTTGATATAAATATACTGCTAATGAATGGCTACTGCATAGTCATTGATATTTTAAAAATAAATTCACACAAATCCTACAGCATGTTTTTATTAAGTAATTAATGATTTAGTTATATATAACAGTTAAATGTGTTATGTGCTATACATTTAAAATTGTATATCTGATCTGTAGCGCACCAGGTTACAAATAGTTATAAAAGTTAGCCAGTGATTTTCCATTTTTTAGTTCAAAGTGTTAAAATCTTTTATTGGCATGCTCCTTTGCCTGTCATTTAAAGACATCTGGCTGCCCCAATACATATTCCATATATGCTATAAATATTTTTTAAACTATTGTGGTTTCTCATTTAAAATCATTTCTAAACAGGTGCAAGAAGTAGAGTTAAAAAATAAAAAACTTATCCAAGATGCTGAATGCTTGCGACACAATGCAGAAGCTGCTAGACAACATTTAGAGATAAAAATGAAAGAAAAGGAAAAAGAACACAACCGTGAGATGTCTCAGGCTCTGGAGCGTGTCAAGGATTCAGACCGTGCATTGCTGGAATTTAAGTCCAAGTGCCACCAGGAATTGAATGCTGTAAGTTTTATTGGACAAAATAATATATTTAACATCCTTAAGCAATGCAGTTATATGACACTTTAAACATTTATAACTAGCAAACATTTCTTTTTATGTCAGACATCTTGGAGAATTATCCTAAATGAAGAAGTGGATCAGTGTTAATTGATACTTGAGTTAAATTTTATCAATGACCTAGCAGAAAAAGGTGTGTTCTCAGTTGTCATACCCTTAGATGATGAGAACAATGTTGTTGTTTACTTTCAGGCACAAGCGGAACAGAACAAACTGAAAGGGCTCTTGGATAAAGCTGAAATGGTAAAGGCTGTACTAGAGAAAGAAAAACAAGATATGACTAAAAAGATAGCCTCTGCTGAGGAGTTATTAAAAACACACAATGGAAGTATGGCAGAAGTTGAGAAAAAGAAAGCAGTAATAGAGGCAGAAAAGGTGAGAGATGGCATCCTGGAAATTTGAGTTCCTTTTTTTTTTTTTAAAGAAGAGAAAAAATTAATGGGGGGGGGGGGGATTTTTTTTTTGTTACTGTTCTTTTTTTAAAGTTTTAACAAAAAAAAAAAAAAAAAAAAAGGGGGGGGGGGGAATTATTATTTTGATACTGTGCTATTTTTAAAGCTTTAACAATGCTTAGTTACATAATCATGCCTTTGATGCAGAAAAGAGAAACGGTTTTGTGCATTGTTTGATCATTAGTGACGTCCTAAAAAAATTACTTGATCAACAAAATGATTAGATGATTCTATCTATATATTTATATCTATTGAAACATAACAGAAAATCATGTAACAAAGATTACAAAAATTATGATTTTATTTTATGATGAATTCAACCATTTACAGCAAAAGCTAACCAATGACCTTGATGCTAAAGATCGACTTATTCACACATTAGAGGCAGAAGTCAAGAAGTTAACCAATAGTATTTCCTTAAAAGAACAGGCCAGTGAAGCATTGAGAGTTCAAAAAAAGGACAAAGAAGTTGAGATAGAGGGAGTACGAGCAGAAGCTGAGAAATGCTCTCGCAAACTTTTACTGGCAGAAAATCAGATTTTGGTTTGTATTATTTCATAACAATGTTAGGCACACTTTCCCTTCATTTGAGTTATTTTTTGTTTAACTCAGTCCCCAAGAACACACAGGTTAACAAATTGTATCCATATATATACTTCACACACCGACATCTATTATTTTGTTTGGGGTGTTTTCCACATAACGCAATCCTTAACATACTGTATCAGAAAACCATGACCATTTTTAATCTTTAATGCTTTGTATTTTTTTGTTTAGTACTAATTTTTTTTTAATGCTTAATCGTCTTTTAACACACAGGACCTTCAGAAGCAGAAAGATAAAGTTTGTGAATCAATTAAGGAGATGACAAATTCTTCCAACAAAATACAAGCTGCAAAAGAGTATGTAGCTACATATTATTAAAGTGCTTTGAAAAGAGCATGTTGCTTGTACAAACATTGTTTTACTGTAGTGTGTAACAGAAACTTAAATCAACTGTTTAGGAAAGATATTAAGAATCCCTTAAAAGCTAAATAATAATTTGTTTATTTTTTTTCATGCAGAACTCTGGAGCAAAATAATGTTGAACTGAGCAGTAAACTACAGAAAGTTCAGGATGAGCTGTCCAGATTATCTGCTTCTAATAAGGAACTGCAGCAACAGCTTTCTGATCAAGAAAATTGTTTCAAAGGTAAAGCTATCTCAATCATGTTGATTCTGTGTTAAATACTAAGTTTAAATTTGTTTTACTGCAGATTTGAGGGAATAATACTCCTTTGGAAAGTAGTCATCAAAGCTCATTTTTAAGATATGTTAAATTCATAATACATTTTTCAGGTTTTTGTAGGTTACCAATGTCATACTAAACTAAACAATTTTGTTTCCTGACCAAAAGCTAATACTCATTGACACTGGACTATTAATAACTTTAACTTTATTTCCAGACTCTCAAAGTAAGTGGAAAGACACCGAGAATAAATTACGCCAAGAAAATACTGCAACAGAAAAGCTTCTGGATGACCTGACTGACGTTAAATCTAAACTGGAAAGCAAACTCGCCTTTAAGGAGGGGGAACTTACTGAAATGACCAATCGCTGCGAGGCTCTAGGAAAACAATCGAGCGTTAAAGATAGTGAACTTAACGAACAGACCAAGGAAATTTCCTCTCTTGAAAAGCAGCTTCAAACCATTTATGAGCAGTATGAAACTTTAAAGCAGAAGAATGAAGTACAACAGAAATGTTATCAAGATACATTAGTCCAGGTTGAAACAGCTTTGAAGACAAAAACTGAGGAGCTTGATCAACTGAAAATAAAAATAAATCAGGAAGCAGTGAATAATCAAATCTACCTGGACACCTTATTACACCAAAAGAAAGCTCTTGAAGAGGAGCTAGCCTTGAGTGGCAGCAAGTGTGTGAAAGGTCAGGAAGTGATAGCAGCACTTGAAAGTGACATACAAGTTTTGAAAAGTGAACTTGACACCAAGGTCTCCTGCATTTCTGAACTGAATACGGCTTTAGAGAAGTGCCAAGGAGAATTAAAAGTGAAGTCAGAAGCAAATGCAGGTCTGAGTGACAAGCTAAATCAACAGGAGCAACATGTCAATGAGTTGAATACAAGTCTGCGGGTTCTGGAGATGAAGTTAGGAGAAACTGAAGCAGAGCTCTCATGCGTTGGAGGTAAACATCAGCAGATGGAAATTGAAAACTGCTTCCTCTTGTCAAAAATTGATGAATTAAATGAACAAATTGAGTGTGGTAAACAGCTGCAGATCACCTATCAAACCAGCATTGAAGATTTGAAGACAACAATAGAAAATTCTCAAAGAGACTGTGCGTTACTGCAGTCCAACTTACAAACTGAAAAAGAGAAGACATCAGCCCTTGAAAAGCAAATAGAATCAATCCAGAACAGTTGCTGTGAGTTTGAAAGTCAGATAACACTTTTAAAAAAAGATTATGAGGAAAAATCTGCCTCCTATAAAGAGCTTGAGTGCAAATGTGCAGAGATGTCAGAAACTACTGAGACTGATAGAAATGAAAAGTTAATGCTGCAGGAGAAGATCAGTAGTCTAGAAGCCTGGAGAACTCAGGCTGAAAGTCTTCATCAGCAGGTGGTTGCTGAAATATCAGACAAGCTCCAAGAAAGTATCAAAGAGTTAGCAGCAGTTAAAGATTTGCTAGAAAGTAAAGAAGATATCGTAGGAGCCTTGGAGAAAGAGCTCACACATGTACAGAATGGAAGATCTGACATGGAGGCCTCACTGAACTCTAACAGATTGGAACTTGAACAGTCTATTATACAGGCTGATGCATTAGAAAAGAAATGTTCAATTCTAACAGAAGAGTTAGAAGCAGCTCAAAGCAGGCTCTCTGAGGCTGAAAAATCTATTAACTTACTCAATGAGAACATGTACCAGTTGAAAATCAGGCTGCATGAGGTTGAAGAGCTAAAGAAATCAAATGAGGAATCCTCAGACAGAGAATTAGAAAAATTGCAGATACAAATTAGTGAATACGTGAAAGATTTATATGAAACAAAGTCTAATGTCTCAGAGCTTGAGAGTAACAACAGTGATCTGAGGGCTAAACTTTCTGACACCCAGACAAAACTTGAAGAGGTGAGTGCTGAGCATGACAAGGAGGCTGCAGTGCTCAAGTCACAGTTGGAGATGTTACAGATGGATGTAGAAGATAAGGATGATTTGATTGAAAATCTCAAAGTAAACATTTCTAATTTAGAGATGCAAGTTGCAAATCTGAATCAGGAACACAAACATAATGAAGAGAAGTCACAATCTAGACAAACTGAGTTTGTGGAGCTCAAGAGATCTCTTGAAACATTTCAGCAAAATTTGGCTGAAAGTATACAAGAAAAGGAAAACTTAATGGACAGGTACGAAAATCTTGAGAAAGTATTGTTGGATTGCAGAGTAAGTTTGGAAAAGAATGAAGCAGAACTGAAAGAAAAGACTTCAAGTGCTGATGTGTCATTGAAACGCCTCATGGACCAGGAACAGAGAGTTCAAGAACTGGAAAGTGAAAATCAGCAGTTAATTTACAATGTGAATGATCTGAAGGATGCGTTGGCCAGTGAAAAGTTGACAGCCCAAGCTAAAACTTCTGAACAGAAAGACATATCCAAGGAGTGCGCCAGACTTTTAGAGGATTTAGACAAGACTAAAGATGAATTGTTCGAATATCAAAATAAATGTACACGTTGTGTTCAAAGTTTTAATGAGTTGGAGATAATTCTGAAGAAAGTGGAAGAAGAAAAACTAAGAGTGGAAAATAGCTTAAGCCAAGAGCTGGATAAACTGCAACAGCAGATCATTCATAAAGAACAAGAGTTATCCCAGATGTCATCTGTCATGAAAGAACATGCAAACAACATTGAGGACCTGAAGGTCAAATTGACTGAGACCCAAACAATAAAAGCAATAGCAGGAAGTCAGCATGAACAGAATGAAGCTGCACTCAAGTCCAAGCTGGAATTGCTAGAGATGGACATTGAGGATAAGGACACAATGATTGAAGGTTTGAACACCCAGCTGGCCAACACAACAAGCCAGTTGCAAAACTGTCAGCAGGAGAAGAATAACCTGATGGCTGCTGTCCAACAAATGGAAACTGAATTGTCTGAAGTGAAAGCAGAATTACAGTCCGGGACTGAAAAGTTGGCATCGTGTCAGCAGGAAAATGGTGCTCTGAAAGATGGCAATATTAATTTAAAAACGAACCTGTCAGAAATCCAATCAGTGCTTCTGAGCAAGGAAGCCACTCTGCACGAGCTTGAGTCAGAATGTGACAAGTATCAGGTCATGATAAAAAATAATGAAAACCTGATTAATCAATTACAGAATAAGGAAGAAATTCTCACAGCCAGTCTTAGTGAAATACAGAATGCTTTGGCAGAGGAGAAAAACTTACTAGTCTCAAAAAGTTCAGAGGTTGAAAGTCTTAGCCAAAATTGTGCTGGTCTTTCTGAAGAACTGGACAATACTAAAAGACAACTTGCTGAGAAACATGTTGTGACTGAAGTACAGAAGCAAAGTCTGAACCAGTTGGAAGTTAAACTGGAGCAATTGGTGGCTGAGCAGAAAATGCAAGAAACTAAAAATCTTGAACTGTTGGAGCAAATGAAAAAACAGGTTGATGAAAAGGATGAGGAGTTGATCCAAAAATGTTCCTTGTTAAAAGATCTGGAGAACCAGACTGATGACCTGAAGGGTAAACTGGCAGAATCACTAAAGCAGAAATCTGGAGGCGAGCAAGAACATGAACAAGAGGCTGCATTGTTGAGGGCCAAGCTGGACATGTTGGAAATGGATGTGCAAGATAAAGATGCCATCATTCAAGATCTGAACACACAGTTGGAGAACTTAAACAACCAGTTAAGAAATCTATCCAATGAAAGGGGCCAATTGTTAAGCTCAACAGCTTCCATGGAATTATCTGTATCTGAGTTGAATGCTGAACTAAGCACAGCAAAAGAAAACTTGTCCAGAGCCAAGCTCAGAGAAGATGAGAATGTGGACAGACTCAAGAACCTGGAAGCAACTTTGGCAGAAATGAGACTTTGTGTGGGGAAAAAAGATGATGACCTGTGTGAGCTGCGAACACAATTCGAAACTGCTGTGTGTAGACATGAGCAGATAGCAGCAGAGCTGGAAGAGTTGCAGAAAGAAAAAGAAATTATGCTTAGTAAGCTAGGTGACTTGCAGCATGAGCTCTCTTCTAAGAGGGATTCACTTGAAGCCAATGTTGCAGAAGTTGAGGCTGTGACACAGAAATGTGCTGCACTGGCTGATGATCTTGCCACAGCTCAGACTGAACTTGAACAGAAACATGACACAATAACAATCATGTCAGACAACATGCTTCAGGTAGAGTCAAAGTTACACAGTTTGGAAAAAGAGAAAATTTCAAATGAAGAAGCTTATGGCATGGAGCTAGAAAAGCTAAAACGGTGCGTGATGGACAAGGAGCATGAAGTGAGCTGCAAAGCAACCAGGGTGGAAGAGCTTGAAGGTATTACTGAAGATCTCAGGACCAAGCTATCTGAGGCCCTGGAGGTGAGATTAGAAGGAGATAGCCATCATGACCAGGAGACTGCTCTCTTAAAATCAAAACTAGATTTGTTGCAGATGGACATGGAGGACAAAGACGCTATTATCCAAGAGCTTAGCACAGAGATTTCAAACCTGAAGATTTTTATTGAAAATTTGACCAAAAAAAAGGATGATTTAAATGACGCCCTGGTGTTAGTAAGGGCAGAACAAGAGAAAATGGCCGCAACTTTGAACATAGAAATAGAGTGTCTGGACAAGGCTAAGGGGGATCTGGACAGATCCAAAGATACTGTAGTGAACTTGGAAGATTTGCTCAACAAAAGCAAGATGGCTTTGGAGGAAAAGTGTGCTCAGTTACAGGAGCTGCAACTAGCTAGTGACATGTTGCTGAAAACTATTGAGCAAAATGAGATAGTCCTTAAAGAAAATGAAAAGGAAAAAGAGACGCTTCTCTCAAGGCTGAATGAACTGGCAAGTACTCTTCAAATTGAAGGGGAACAATTCCAGGTCAAATTATCAGAAGCAAGCAATCTTAGTGAAAAATGTGCCACACAAATGGATGAGCTTGAAATGTTGAAGGCAGTACTCAATCAAAAGGCTGATACTGTCAACAGTCAAGCAGCTAGTCTTGAAGAAATGGGAAAGAAACTAAAAGCATTGGAGGTGCAAAAGTTACTGGAGGAAGAAGAGAATAAACAGGCACTGGATCAACTCCAGGAGCAGATCAACTCCAAGGAAAGAGCTCTCCATCTCAATGAGACACACATACATGAATTAGAAAACTGCTGTCAGGATCTGAGAAACAAAGTGGCTGATATGACCATACAGCTGTCAGAAAGAGATGCTTGTTTAAACAATGAAACGGCCAAACTGCTCAGTGAGGTTGAAGGCTTGCGCTCTAATCTTGAAGAGAAGGACAAACTCATGAAATCATATGAAACACAAGTGACCAATCTCAATATTTTAATTGATAAATTGACAGCAGAGAGAGACCAGGTGAATGGGGATTTCGAATCTGAACATTTCCGTTTACTTGAAGATCTCAAAGAGATAAAAATGGAGTTGGACAAAAAGATAGCAGAACTGAATGATATAAAAAAAGTGTCTGAAAGCTATGAGCAAAAGTTGGATCAGCTGGCCACAGAACTTGAGTCAAAAGACCAGCAGGTTGTGTCGTTAGAGGCTCAAATTGCTGAGTCTATGAAGAATGCAGGGGAGTTAAATCAGGAGGTCAACAAGCTGTCCACGGATGTCTTTAATTTAGTGGCTTGCAAAAAAACTTTAGAGAATGAGTTGAAATGTTCCAAGCTGGATAAATTTAACCTGGAAAAAGAGTTACTTTTGAGTCAAGATAACACTGAGCTCAAGCAGAAGAATTTGGAAGACGAGCTTGAAACAAAATCATCTGAGTTGACAGCCATGCAAACACAGTTTGACAATATGAGCCAAACTGTGTTGAAAACAAACAATAAATTGGCAGAGCTCCAGATTGAGCTGAAAGCAGTAAATGAACAGTTGAGTGAGGTCAAGAGGCTTTATGATGAGGCTAAAACTGAACTCCATGACAAAAACTCCACAATGCTGGTTCTGCGTGAAGAGTTGGAAAATGCGGCTCAAGAGAATGACTTACTGCGGGGGGAAAAGGGAGATTTAATCACCCTAGAGGAGAGGTACAAACATGATATACACGAACTGGAAACCAAGATTGCTGATTATGAGGTGGAAGTTGAAAGTACAAAGGAGTCGTTTGAATCAGTTTCTGTACAGAGGTTTGAGGCCCTAAATAAACTACGTAGTGTTCAAAGGGAGAAGGATGATCTTGAACAGAAGATGAGAGGAATTGAGGCAGAAGTCTTGGTCATACGCCCACAAGTTGAAAGGTTGCAGTTGTTAGATGCGGAGATTGAAACTTTGAACAAAGAGCTGTCTAGGAAAGAAGATACTATATCAGAGTTAAAAGTGCAAGTAGATGATTATTGTAGGAAAAATATGTTGTATAGCCAAGACGTGGAGGTTCTTAATAAACAAATTCGTGAACTAGAGGAGAACCTTGATAAAGCAGAGACCAGATCTCGTCATTTGGAGCACCAATATGATGATCTGTCGACTGATACTAGTGATGTCATGGAACAGCTGACACAGTTGCAAGAAGTAATCCAGACCTTGAATAAGAGCTTGGATTCTAAAAAAAAGGAAATAGTTTTGAGAATAAATGAAATAAGCGAGAAAAAAAATAAGATCACAGAACTGTTGAAGGCACTTGAAGAAAGTGAGAAGCTAAAAGAGAACCTAACTCAACAAGTAGAAAATTTGAAAAATAACACAAAGGAATCCAGTTCCACCATAGGCACACTGCAGGACGCAATAGAGTCTTTGAACTTGGAGTTGTCAGCCTCAGAGGAATTACTTAAAGAGAAAACTAGTCAGAATGATTATATTGAGCAAGAACTACAAGTGCTTAAGAGTGAACATGAAACTAGTATAAAGCAGTTAGAAGTGATGCAAGAAAAACTAAGCAGATCTGAAGAGAGTATGGAGTCTTTATTATCAAAAATTTCTGAGTTGAACCACTGCATTTTGTCACTCCAGAATGAAGTAGAAAGAAAGAATATTGATGTTGAAAAATATAAGACAAGTGAGGAAAAGTTGCAGGAAAAGTATGAGCAGCTTGAAATGCAAAGAGATATTTTGATAGAGGAACACAGTAGAAAATTAGATTTTCTGGAAATAGAGAAGAAGAAGATGGATGAAAAAATGGAACACTACGAAGTTCTTCTTTCAGACAGAGTCTTGTTGGAGGAAAAAGCTAAACTTTGTGAACAGGTTTTAGAAGAGAAATCCCAACTTGAGATGAAAATTGTAGAAATAAGTAATAATATTATTGAACAAAACAAATTTCAAGAACAAATCAAAGATCTTGAAACAGAGAAGAAGAAGATGGGTGAAAAAATGGAACACTATGAAGTTCTTCTTTCAGACAGAGTCTTGTTGGAGGAAAAAGCTAAACTTTGTGAACAGGTTTTAGAAGAGAAATCCCAACTTGAGATGAAAATTGTAGAAATAAGTAAAAATATTATTGAACAAAACAAACTTGAGGAACAAATCAGGGCTCTTGAAACAGCAGCAAAGGATAAAAATGAGATGGCTGTTGCTGAGAAGGAAGCTTTGGAGAAAAAACTCCAAGAGTATCAGGTTAGATGATAAATATAAACATAATACATTATTAAGATTTTAAAATGAATTATTTAGTTCCAAAAGCAGATTTGTAAAACAAAAAAAATCAATATACTCTGCTTGAATTTTAGCCTCTGTTATTCCATAGATGTATTTAGATGATAGATATAGAGAGATGATAAGATAGAGAGATGATGATAGATAGATACATAGTAAGAGAGATAGATAGTAAGAGAGATAGATGCTCTTAAATAGATAGAGAGATAGATGCTCTAAGAATTAAGAAAGATAGAGAGATATATACTTTAAAAAATTCAACAGGGAAAAATTAGAGATCTGTTACTGAACATATTTGACAAAGTGACTTAAAATGGCAAGGTTGGGCTGCACTGAATGTAATTGCTTGCCGCTCAAATATTACCATGCATTTGCTGTAACTTGTTTCTTTAATGAATATCAAAATTTCATTTTAACCTGGAGCAGATTTGCAAGACCGTGGATACAAAGGAAAATCAGACATCTGTAAATATCTTTTCTCATTTGGTTAATGTTGTTTTTGTTTTTTTAATGAGTAAAGCACTTTTCTTTTTACAAAATAGTTACCCGGTACATTCTTAAAATTCTGAAATTACATGAGGCACTGCCATAAAGTTCAGTGCTTTTGATTCATTTAAGAACAGTTTATTCAAAAACCATTTTTAATTAAAATTTCAGATTTTACTCAAATGGGAGCAAAGATGTTCTGATTTGAATAATCAACTGAAAATGGAGCGTAATAAGGTGAAAAGTCTTACCCAACAGTTAGAAAAGCTGGGTAAATCTCAGACAATTGGCAATAGCGAAGAAGTGGAGGTAAATTCTTATTTTTGATTTAACAATTTTGACCACAGGTATTAGATTTAGAATGTTGCCAATAGTGGCCGGAGGTCATTTCATTTTCAACTAGTCTCATTTCCTTTTGGCCAGTCCAAAAGGCTTCACAAACGACTTTGATATAGCAAGTGAACATTTCGAGAGCTGCATGTTATTAAACCTATTAAAATAAAATTGCACCAAATTGTTGTATGGAATTATTTACCTATTCTTGATGCACATAATGAAAAACAAAACTAAAATAATTTGATATTTATCTTTTCACTCACTTAACTTTTAATATCAGTTTCTTTGTCATTGAAAAAAGAACTAATAAATAATCAGGCATCTGCTGGCTGCAATATTTGAATTAGTAAGTTGGGCAACCCTGATTTAAACCATAAGTTATGCGATGAGTACTTACTAGTACCAGAATGCTAAAAATATAAGCATGACCACTGTTCTAGAAGGTGCTTGAGTTGCCCTGGTACTGAACTGGTCTGATTATCAATCGCCTGTATTCTTATGATTTCTAATAGTAATAGTCAATCCTGTTACTTTACAACTCTATGTTCTTCTGAAGATTTGTTTGTTTAACCTCATGATTTTTACCCATTTTTTTCACATTATTATTGATAATTTTTTAATGCATGATGTATTTTAGGTATGAAACAATATTTTTAACCTGTTTAAAATATTGCATTTTTATCATTTAAAAAAAAAAATTTTTGATTGGTTTATTTAGAGTCTAAAAGCTGAGCTGCTTGAAGTTAAAGAGGAACGAGATTATTATAGTGATGAATTAACTGCAATGTGCCAAAAAGCAGAGAGACATTTCAAAACTATCAAAGAACTTAAGCAGCAGAATGACTACTGCTCATCTAAGTTAAAAATTATGAGTGAGTGTTGTTTTTCTTTGGGTGTAATTGTTAGTTATTTTGCCAAGGCTTTTTCAATTAAATTGGTTGCCATTTAGTATCCGTTGTATTTTTCTTTTCTTACATTGCCAAGTTTATGAAGAAATTAAAGATAGATAGAGATTTAAGCAATATTATTTTTAAGTAAGGGAAAATGTGTTGCTACTTATAATTAATGATTCATTTATTTTTGCTTTAAAAAAAAAATATTTTTTTTGTTGCTTATCCTTTGACAGAGTCAATGCTTCAAGTAGAAAAAAATAAAAATAAAGGCATAGTAAACAGTTCTCAGATGCCACAGATTGCATGCTTTAATATAAAATCAGATAATGTCAACAACCTACAAATCATTCAAGGACAAACAATTGAATTTGAGGCAGGGAACTCTGTGCCGCCAGATTTGGTCATTATAAATGAAACCGATGTAAAGCCTCTTGTCAACGAGATTGAAAATAAAAATCGGGTTGATATGTCTGATATAGGGTCAGTTGCTGTTGAAAGTTCTGCGAAAATTAACCCTGTTCTTAATTCATATTCAGAGATGAACCATCTTAAGTCACCTAGCCAAAGACAAAATGTGAATAAATCCCCCTCAGGTACAAAAAGAGATCAGTCTATATCCACCCCTTCACTGTCCATAAAAAAATCTAAGAATTCTGAGGATGGGTCATTTCTTAAAACGCCAAAACAGTCATCAAAAAAGTCCAAAATAGCCACACCTTCAAAGTCAAGCAAATGTGTAGTGCCCTCTACATTTTCTGAAGAAATAAAAACGAAGTGTAAAATGAATACTTCTACAATTGGAAAATTGAACAATTCAGACAGGTCTCAAGATTTGATGATAATAAGAGAAAAACTACCTTCATCAAAAGAAGCAACTGGAACTTCTCTAACTGCTGGGCCAAATCATAAACTTTCCAGTCTGCCCTGTGGTCCCAAAACAATCCCTGCAATAACTGTGAATGACAAAATCACTGATACTAACTTGTCTACACGGATTACTAGAAGAATGTCCTTGCAAAAGAGACGGTCAACTGAGCAGTCACAAGAAGCAGTTGATGGCAAAAAAATGAAACTTTCAATTGAAGGTTTGTAAATCTTCCTTTTGTGCTCTTTACCATATAAACATACATTTTTTTTTAAATATATAAATATGAAGAGAAATGGGCTATGTTGGGCTAAGATGAAGAGAAACGGGCTATGTTGGGATGAGCTGAAGATTTAAAGATGAAGAGAAAAAGGCTATGTTGGGATGAGCTGAAGATTAAAAGATGAAGAGAAAAAGGCTATGTTGGGATAAGCTGAAGATTAAAAGAAGACACACAAAAAATATGCTAATGGTCATTTTGGCTAAAAATCCTTCTGCAGCAGGCAAAACAAAAATATGTATGAAGCATTTTTATACATATATTTTATGTGTGTTTATTCTTTAAATCTGATAGAAGTATGTAATGTATATTGATGCATGTTAAGTATATATATATATATCACATTGTATTTTAATAGAAGTAACCTCAAATGAATATAAGTCATTAGATTTTCTTGATTATAAATGTTCTTTAATTTATTTTGCAAATACAGGTAGTTAAAATCAGTTCATAATAAACATAATATAGTTTAAATTTTAAAGCATCTACAAATTTATCACTGCTGCAAAACAGAAAATATAATTGCATAGCTGAAGGAGAAACGTGCTGGAATCAGGGGAATATAGCTGACTTAAGAATGGCTTGGGTTTATATACAGATATATTTATGTTATTGTATGTACTATAATATTTATGAAGAAAAAATACTTATCCCTATAATATAAATGAAAGAAAAGGAAAAATTTATTTTTTTTTTAAAGAAAAAACTGGCAGTATCAATAATTTTTCAGATGTTCAGTCACATTTCTTGTGTATGTTGTTGCCTTGATAATTCTATGTTTAATATCTTCAAATCAATGTACCGGTATTCTCCATAGGAATTATATTTGTGTTATTATTTAAATGTTCTAAAATATCTTTATGGCTATTGTTGACTAGTTGGTTTTCATAGATAATTGATATGATGTAAATACTCTCTGAACTGGTCACCAAAGAAGTGTATTGTTCATTCTTTATAGGAAGAAATGTGAGCTATTAATATTTGTATAGTACTAACATAGAAGCTAAACAAATAATTATGATACTTTTAGATAAAACTTTCTTTTCATGTGGTTTCTTTGTTCATGTTTCTTTGGTTTGGTTATTTCACTGAAATATTTAAATTGATAGTTTGCAGAACAAACAAAAACTAAAATTAGATATAGAGCTTAGAATTAAGGGGTGCTTTAAATAGAACATTAGGTGGATTCTGGCATTACCAATCATAGTGTATGGATATGTGGATATATTTTGAATCAGATTAAAAAAGATGACGGCGCGACTTCCATTTGGGTAAAGCAACAGAGCAGTTAGTACTTAAATTCCTTGTTAAAGCTCAAACTTAGCTTGTCTTAAATCTTCTTCAGAAACCATTCCTGAGACAAAACCTGAGATTAAACCACCATCAAAGCGGACACGGCAACAGGCACAACAAATAAGCAAACCTCAATCCTCCCCAAAAAAATGTTCTTTGGCTTTGGTAAGTTTCATAATGTTAAACTGATTTTTTTAGCCTTTATGATTAGAGAAAGTTGTTGTTTTTTATCTATATGTTACCAGCAACTGTTGCTGTAATGCTGTCCACTCTATCCATAAAGCTCCTGCAACTGTTGAGATATTTCCTCTTTTTTTTTGTATGGTAAACACTTGTTTGTTTCATTTTCTAAATTGTTTGTGTCATCAAAGTGCTTAGGTTTTTGAAAATGTCATCAAGTTAGTTGAGGATCATGGCGTTTTAGCTCTAAGCTCCAAAGAATCTATCCATCCCTCCATCCCTGTGGCGCTACAGCACATGTAGGGCTTTGGCCTGCCTCACCACTTCCTTCCACTCAGACCTAATGCCTTTCTTTTCCATGCATGGATTTTCAGCTGTTGTAGATCTTTTTCCACATCATCCATCCATGTAAGCCTAGGTCTGCCTTTGAGCCTTTTTCCTCTGGGGTGTTGGTGATGCACCGGTCTTCGTTCCTCTGTCATTTGGCATTCTCTCTAAGTGTCCTGCTCAGCGTAGCCTGCCTCTTTTTATTTCTGCTACTATTGTGGGATCCTGATATAGACTGTACAATTCATGGTTGTTTCGTATTCTCCATCCATATTCATCCTTTGTTGGTCCACATCCTTTGTTGGTCCATATATTTTCCTGAGAACTTTCCTCTCCCATGTGTTTAATAGGTTTTCTGCTGTTTTTGTTAGGGTCCAAGTTTCACTTACATATTATGTTACAACTGGTCTGATTACAGTTTTATAAATAGTTTTCTTTGTTTCTCTTGTGATGTTTTTTTCAAAGAATCTAGCAATGACAAAAAGGATTTAAGACAATAAAAAAAATTATATATTATTTAAAATTTGAAGCCTGTATATTTTATGTTATTGTTATGATCTTTTTAAAAAAAAATATTTTAATGTAATTTTTATGGACTAGCGCTACATTTTAATCATATCCAGATTTCCATAGGAGTCAATAATATTGTTTAATAATATTTTTAAAAGCCAAGCCCTTGAGTGATTTGAATTTTCTAGCTCATTCACCCAACTTATAAAAGAAATTTAAAAGGGGAAGAAACACACCACACAGAAAAACAATAATCATTGCAGAAAAAAGGAAGTTCAGTTACTGTATGTGTTATTAGTTCATTATCAATAAATTTTAAGATTATACTCAACTCATTTGTATTTTGCTACATTATTTTATCAAAATATGTCTCAAAACATCTTTTCCTATTACAGCCCAACAGCAATGTCTTAGCCACAATCACCAACAGTCCAAAGAAATCGGTTCCTCCCAATGACAGTAGTAAATCACGAGTTCGACATTTAAGATCTCCTAAACACAAAACAGCCCCAACAGCCAAGGGATCACCTGGTGGAAAATCGGAGTGTAATCAACAGTAACTTTCATAGAATGTACTTCATCAAAAAAAATCTTGTCGAGGTCATCCATGTATTTTGAGGGGAGAGCAGGTATCCTGCTGTGTTCCTAACCTAACGTATTATGTAAAGATTGCGACATTTAAATAACATTTTTAATCAAAGTTTTATTGTTCAAAATGAATTCTAGAAAGTTTGAGGTGGATTTACTTATTATTTGTAAACCTATTAACATAAGGCACACTTTTGAAAATGTTTTGGGGTCACAATAAAGGAGGAAACGTTATGCAGATCTGGCTTTTATTGTACATTTTAATGTATTTTCAGATTTGGTTAAATACCATGCCTCCTTTTACAAAACCTGTCAGTAGCGTTAGATGGTTAATAATGTGTAATAAAAAAATGATAAATCTCTGCACAGATGACCATGAGATAATGTGCTTGACACTTGTTATGACATTGTTTAACTCATTTCTACAGGGACTATTTGTGTTCTTATAATACATAATTTTTCAAATAATACTTTAATTTGAACATGGCGCAAGATTTCTAATGAACATGTTTTATTTGAAAGAACTGATATGATGAGTACCCAGCAAACCTTGTGCAAAGTGTCCTTACGTCACCAACCCTCTTTCAGCCATACATCATTGCATCATTAGGTCACCCATGTCATCGTCACTCTTTTAAGTGTCCTTTCATCCCAGACCCTCGGTGTGAATGTACATGTTGGTGTGTACAGCAAAATGTAACCATCCCACCTTTCATAATTATTTTATTTGAAAACTTTGTGGTAAAAAAATACATAAAACCATTTCACATTACCAAAGTTTGAGTTTAATTAATGATAAATAAATGCACTTGAAATAAGCCAGATATAACACATCTGGGGAAAGATGAGCATGCATAAAACAGGGCTTTGTTGCATTTGTTTAAACTCTTGATATGTAGCTCAAAACTATTTATATGATTTATGTGTTTGAATGATGTTAAAATTGTATTTCTTGAGAAATAAAAGATTGAATGGATGCATTGTCATCAAGATGACAGTTCCTTGATATTAACTGACTATGTTCAATGAGCCAAACAAAGTATGGGGGAACCTGGGGAAAAAAGGACGCAACAAAACAACAAACGTGTCTGCAAGAAGCCTTCTTCAGCGAACAAACAACACTAAAAACAATATAAAATAAACACTTAGCTGCAATGTAGTAGCCGAGAGTGCAGCAAGGAAAATGTCCTCTCTGGCACTACATTACAGCTAAGTGTTAATTTTTTTTTTACTTGGTTTGTTCCCTGAAGAAGGTTTCTTGCCGACACGTTTTGCATACTTTTTTCTGGTTTTCCCATACTTAGTTTTGCTAATTTCCTTTTACTTAATCTGATTGTCATCTCTCCCCTTATTCCTATTCCTATGTTAAATGAGTTAATTTTAATATGTCCAACCTTATACAGAAAAGTATTTTGAAGAATAATGTATAAATATTTTTTATAGTATAATTTATGCAATTCATAAAATTATTCTGGCTCTTTATTTAGAATACAAGTAATGGTTTTGCAATGTAGTTTACTGACAAGACTTTTCAATAATTGATATGGTCTAAAAAAAAAATCTGTTTTTTTTCTTCATTGTTTTGCATGAGCTACATTTTCCATTGTGAGGGAATATACAAACTTTTTCTATGAAGTTTGTTGTACCCATGTGAGTAGTGTACCAAACAAATATGGGGGGGGGGTTGACTTTTTTTTATACTTCTTATAAAAATTGTATTAATTCATGTTGCAATTATTTGAATAAAATATTCAAATCTCATTTGTTTATTTGTTAAAAGGTGTAGCATAAGAAGTTTTCTAACTCCTTTCTAGTAGAAATTCTACTTGAGCAGTAGTTTGGGAAAGTCTTGGATCGAGTTGTAAATTAGAAGTGAAGCATGCATGTTAGGGCGTCCCCAAAAAATGAACTTTTGAAATGTTGATGTCTCACCCCACAGAATATGTCGTTATGGTAACAGTAGTTAACCTGCAAAATTTCAGCTCATTTGGACAATGTTTAGAGGTCCCCCAAGAGGTTTAAAGTTCCAGATTTTGGTGTAAAATCATTCGCGGTCAAATCTAATACAGCGTTAATGTTGCATTATATGCGAAACTGATATATTAAGTAACAAATTGATGCTTAGTATTGTATAATATTAAATGAAACAAAATATATAAATCTTGAATGGTTTATATTTTAAAATTTGAAATTTAAGTAAAAAATTATGAAAAACAAAGTTTTATTCATTTTGTCAAGTTAATTCTTGAAAGAATGTCAATCTGCTTGAAAAATAATAATAAGCAATGCAATTAAGCATTCCTATTATTTATCTTGTACTTTTTACTGTAGGGTAGACAAAAATTTAAAAAAAGTGCTTCAAATTTAAATTTTAGCCAGCTGTTCACGATTACACTCTGCAAAATTTTTCCGATGTTTGTCAACCACTTGGAGCAAAAATTGTTTTTGTTCTTCGTCCTTGGTGATACTATCATTGAAATTTTGTATCAATGCTACACCTCGCTCTGCAGAGTCATTGATACAAGCCAGATTCTTTACAAAATCTGCTGCAACTTTAAAAGATCTGACCATGCTTCAACAGGAACATCTAGAAAACTGGCATCAATGTTGGATGTTTCAAAAAATGTGGTAGAAGCACGCAAATCAACAACACTTTTTGGTAGTGTTTTTATGAGATGCGGTCCACGTTCTGATTGCATTGTCCGAACAAGGCCAGTTTTTTCTTTGTCCGACAAAAGGGTTGAAAATAACACAAGCGTCGACAGTTCCGGACTCAAGTACCACGAGTGACGCACCATCATTTTCAATCCAGTCGATCGAAGAACAGCATCATCATATTCGTATAAACGCTGTATCAACAAGATATCATTCACAGGTGCATCTGCGGTGAGCCTGCATGAAAACCATGATTGAAGATAAACACATATGGTAAACCGATTAAAGCGCTGAATACCTTGTAATTCTCGAGCTGTTAACTGAAAGATGGTTTCGTTGCCTGCAAACAATAGTTCGATTTTCAATGCATAGATTGCTTTCGCCATCCACCTTGCCCTATGTAGGGCACCAGGTCTGCGAATGCTGACATCAACCTCCAACCCAACCATTTGTGCAGCAAGCAGAAGAAATTCCAAATAATCATCACGTGAATGACTGACCTCAAGTTGACATTTGATAAATTCTTTAATCGAATCGGACACGATTATCAAAGGGGCGGATCTGGCTTCGGGTGTGTGGTTTAATTCTGGCCATTTTTCTCGAAACCTCTTAAAAAACAAAATCTCTGGTCCAGTGGATGGTCCAAGACAAACATTGAATGCATCGGAAAGGAGTACTTCCAACATGTGATGACGGCATGCCATCCATAATAGATTACGTCCCAGGGCTACTTCTAACAGAGTGCAAGCTCCATTGAGTCTTCCAGTATTGGAAGCCGTAGTGTCGAAGCACATGCCGATGACCATAGATTCGCACTTCCACGATTTGATATGTTCATATACTGCATCAGCAGCTGCCCGTCCTGACCCGGACCCGGATGCTAACTTGGGAACACCAAGAAGCTTTGTAGTGCCATCGACAAGTGATGAGAGCAGGACAGGTAATCGATCGACGTTGTTGGTAACCTCTCCGGTAACATCGGGCAATAGCTTACCATCCCAATGAACAATTGATTTTGAGGGAATATAGTCTTCTTTTATACGTGCTGCAGCTTGTTGACGACGAAGCTTGCGATGACGATGCATTGTGCTCTTGGAAAATACTGTGTCAGATGTCGGAACACCAGCTTCGTTGAATGCGGATGCAAGTATCATTGTAGATTTTCTAATGCTGGTGTTCGTTCTGTCCAGCACTGCAGCAACTTTTGGTGATATGATGCTTCGTCTGCGATGTCGTGTTGCAGAATTTGTTTTGCTTGAGGATGCTGATTGGATGACAAATTCTTCATCAGGTTCTGCATCGTCACTGGAATCCCGACAAATGGATGGATCATAATTGTTTCTAGCCTGACAATTTAGCATGCTTAGTTTAAAACAATCAAATCTTCAAAAAATATGCATAAGTTTTGCACATTAGGTATTTTATATGTTTTCTCGCATTTATTACATTTTCTAAATTAAGAATCACACAATTTCAACTCTAGTTAATGGTAGCAATGAGGTAAATATAAGTATATTTAAACTTCATTTTATTCATATATGGCATGCAAAAACTGCAAGTTATTTGAGCCACGATTCGTCTGGATTTTTATGTTGGCCTAATACTGGAATTTTAAAAGCTCTTGGGGGACCTCTAAATGTTGTTCAAATGAGCTACAACTTCACCAATTCACTCATTGTACCCAAGAGACACATTTCAGGGGGTGAGACACCAAAGATTTAAAAAAATATTTTTTTCGAGCATTTCTGGGACGCCCTAATGCATGTGTTATAAATGACTGTACCACTTTTTTTCTTGAATAAAATTATAGAATTTCAGGTATGTTGCGAACATAAACAACAGTCTGCTATCCTTGCATGGGTGTGTTAAACTATATATGAATATATTCTCCGAAACACCACAGTCCCAAATCAAAGTCAAAACATGCTCAGTAAGTGGGGAAGGAACATCTTCAGAAAGGTTAATGGGCTTAAACTTAAATGGGATTATAAGTGATAGAATTTTGACTAAATTGAGAAATATATTACCGGTACTTGTATGAGGACCCAACTATAATCGCTGCAATTTTAAAAGGCAGTATGCATTGCTCCAAGACACGTTGAGGGGATGCTTGAGTACAGAGAAGTAATGAGACAACAATTTGTGTAAATAAAACACTAGATGTTAAGCTTTAACTTTAGTTATCTCGCCCTGAGTCGCAAAAGCCTATGTATGGCTTTGACCTGCCTCACCACTTCCTTCCACTCGGACCTAACTAATGATTTTCTTTTCCATGCTCGGATTTCCAGCTGCTTTAGATCTTTTTCCACATCATCCATCCATCTAAGTCTTCCTTTGAGCCGTTTTCTGCTTTAATTATGGTTACAGTTATATAAATTCAAACGTTTTGACACATGCCTTCATCAGTAAAACAAAAAAGATTCATACAAGTTTATAAATTAAATTTACATTGGTAATATAAATATATACTCTACCTATCTATAAATTAATAAAAATCATAATTACAGTTTAACATATTTTTTTATTCGCACAAATTGTGTCTCATTAATCTACTTTAAAGCTTTATCGCAGTCCAACACTTAAATAACTAGTAAATATTATAGAGGATTAAACATGGTTTACAGAAAGAAAACAAGGGGAAGATGGCACATTAGTAGACCAAGAAAGATGTGCAGATGATCAAGTCAGATTTATATCAGGGGAGATTCATACATGAAGTGGGAAAACCCATGGATCTGTCCAAGTGGAAGGATATGGTGGTACACCGTAAGAGCCCTACAGATTCTGTAGTGCCATTGATGATCATCTGAAACATAACCCACTGTATTTTTTTAGCACACTTTTTGTCTCGTGAAACAATCTAAAAATTAAGTGGGTTGACATTAGTCTCAATCAATCTGAAGTTTTGTCGAACGGAAATTTGTTCACTCTTACTCTATTTAATCAGTGGTTGATGTCAGAGGATGAAATCCTACAGCAACAGGCAAAATTGGCGTTCAGTAGCAGACGCATAGCGAGAATGTTTGGCGCCCAGGGACAAGATTCATTTTAAAGCGCCCCCTTTTATTTTTTTAACTCTCAAACCCATTATTTTCATCAATAAAATAATATCAAAGCATATTTTAGCGCCCGGGGACATATGCCCCCCCGACCCCCTCACTACGCCTCTGTTCACTAGGCTTCCAATTGTTGCACTGTGGAATAATTTGTTTGTTTATGCCGAAATTGTATAGTTTTTAAAGATAGAAAAGACTTTGGTTGAAATTTGTATACAGAAAAAGACTGTGTTCATGCCTTTTTAGCTTATTATTAATGTTGAAAGTGAAACCTAGGTAAATTTCTCTACTTGCTCTATGTTGTGATTTTTTAATTTTTTTTAATTGTGATATCTGCAATTGGGTGATTCCCCTCCGGAAATCGACAACAATTTTTTTTTTGTTGAGACATTTAACTGAAGAAAATGTTAATTGCACCAACGAATACAGCTTGTAAATAAGTTGCGGTGTAAGCTTTCCTCTTCAGAAATTAAGCCAACGATGGTGGTATCATCAGTAAAGTTAATTATTGGAACGGTGTTGCTTGGGCTCTGGATATCATTGGTAGGCCTATATATTGTATACAGAACAGGGGAGAGAACACAACCTTTTGGCGCCTCGTTACCTATCTGAAGTTATCTCTCTATTTACATGTAATTTGGTAATTTCCCTTGACATATTATTGTGAGCGATTTGTTCAAAAGTTCAGTATCCACGCTTGAATATTTGAATTTAGATGACAGACGTCTTTCTAGTTCTAGTTCTCGCCAAGCCAGACAGCACTGCCTGTGACCATTGCTTCTCTCGTGTTCTGTGGTGTGAACACATCATTTTCACCACTTACTAAAGCACAAAGTTTAGAGTGTGAACTATATATTATATATCCAATTTTTTTTTTTTTTTTGAAAAATTTTTTTTTAAAAAAATTTTTAAAAATTTCCCCCTTTTTGGCCCCCCCCCCCCCCCCCTATGAGCTCCATGACAATGTACCGGCTGAATCCCCTCTCCTCAGGTCTTATAAGGCTACTAGATATAGCCCGCCAAACATTGGCGACAGCAATGCGTGAACTTCCCATCTATTTAAGTTACTTGACAAAACATGAACTCAACTAACGCACATTTAAGAATCCCAATTTTTGCTTCCCCCCTCCGGCCTCCCCCCACCCCCATGATACGTCACTGCAAACTTTTTATTTCACGCCCATGAAATATATTAAACATTCTGATGTCCCAACCACTTTAAAACCGAATATTTTTTACACCATGCTTACTTTTTCCGAAAAGAAAATATTACGAAAATGGCGTACTTCAGGGAGGCGATTAAAACTTTGAATCAAAAACTCATTAGTGCAAGCACTATAGTTAAAAGCTAAAAGTGTGCGGACAGACCAGAGAGCATGATACGTCATACGACGACTGAGACAGCCTCTTCTTCTTCTTCTATATCTTAAGGGCCCACGATCAAATTATTGATCATTTTGGCTTCTATGCATGAAGATGGGATTTGCAATGTTTCTGTTCCTGGTGTTGATGAGGAAATTTCACTGATTTCCAGTGCCACTTTGTGAGGGAATCATGCACTAGGGGTTTGAAGGCTTGAGGCAATAGACACAAATGTGTCTAGTGTTGTCGCCTCAACCGTTCCTTTTGAAAGATTGTTCCAGTCCCTGATTGTCTTGGGCAGGAATGAGCAGCTCCTATACTGGCTTCTTGCTGATATGAGCCTGAATTGCCTGTCATGGCCTCGTAGCTGTCTATGGGGGAGAAGGACGAGTTTCTGTTTAATACTGGAACAGTGGACCAGCCCATTATTTATCTTGTACATCATGGAGAGCCTGGATTGTCGTCGTCATTCCTCCAATGGTGACCAGCCTAGTGTTTCCAGCATGCTGCCAACACTAGAGGTATTCCTGTAGCGGTTTAGGACAAAGCGTGCTGCTCGTCGCTGGACCGCCTCCAACCTGTCAACGCTCTTCTGGGTAAATGGGTCCCAGACTAAAGATGCATAATCTAAAAACGGACGGACAAAGGCTTTATATGCTCTTTCTTTCACACAGGAGTTGCCAATCTTTAGATTTCGCCTTAAGAACCACAGGGTTTTGTTTGCTTGGTTACATACATTGTTAATATGCTCGTCCCAGCGGACCTCTCTTTGAATGGTAACACCCAGGTACTTTACGGAGGAAACTGGCTCAAGTATATGGCCACGCAGTTCGTATTGGTAGTGTAGAGGAGTACAACTTCGAGAGACTGATAGTGTCTGGCACTTGGCAGGGTGAAATTCCATGTCCTAGCTCATCTCCCACTCAGCTAACAGATTGAGATCTTGTTGTAGCTGGTCCTGGTCAGATCTGTTGGCGATCGTCCTATACACTGCTGTGTCATCTGCGAACAGTTTGCTTGTGATGTCAGTTTCTCGGGTAGGTCATTAATGTATGCTAGGAACAAACATTCTGATATCCCAACTCTTATTTGCCTTCTGGCAGATTTTCTGTGGTAAATTAACAATCCCTTAGCTTGTACTCCAGCCCGAATAAAAGTCAATATCCCGGACTAAAAACCTAAAGATTTATTTATCTGTGCCTGCTCCCGTTTTGTCTCGGCTATCTAAGCTACACTTTTATATTTTTATAAGTAAAATGTTTTTTTTAAAATATATATTTTAATAGAAGGGGTTGGGGGACCCCCCCCCCCCATGGATGAAGTGAAAGCTCCATTTATTGCTTAATATTACAATGCCCTCTAAAGATATAGACGTGAAAATATACTACGTTATAGCGAATAAAATCCCCTTCTATCTAGATATAATTCATAGCTTAATACCAAAGGATTCCCGAGAAATCAATAATTGAACTTGAACCAAAAAGCAAACATAGTGGTTTCCACTATTTAAGTATTCAATGCGATGGGCCTCTTTACAATCATGCTGCATGTTAGCTATCCTAACCCCGAGGTCAAATTCAAGCATCGCGTTGGGCACTAAACATGGTTTCGTAAATATCAACTTTACGGGTCGTACATTAATTATGGCAACAAAATAGAGTTGGGGGGGGGGGGGAATGTAGTTGAAGCTTGTATGTTGTGGGCTTGGACTCAGGAAATTAGTTGACGTCAGCAATCATGTTTTCTCTATTAAAATTTTAATCTTACAAATTGACTGGTTATTACATTATTCTAACAAATATAATGAGTGTAAATAGTCATATAATTTTAAGGCTTTTAAAAATATAAATCTATTTAATGCGTGGCAGTCTGTGCACTGCTGATGGCTGGTCAGAATGTTAGCACACTTTGTTAGTTTAGTGCAAGAAAAGTCACAAAAGTTGGCCTCTCTTCGCCTGTAGATTCTGTTTGTCGCAAATGACAAGTGTGGTATGCTTGCGATCATGTTGCAGGTGTGGAACAAGGACAGGGTTCAAGTGTCATGTGCAGTCAAGATAAATGGTATTGATAGAGTAAGAATACGATATTTTGAGAATAAGGGGAAAGTAAAGTGAGTAACAATAATAACATCGCTGCTTGAACAGATTTGCCAAATCTGTAACATCTGTTTTGCATGACAAGTCATGTTGGAAGAGCATGTTCAACAGCATCGACCATCCACCCTTGAGCATAAGAAATCACCCACCACCTGCTCCTGCACAACAACAACAAAAAAACAACAACAAACGATTCGACCAATGCTCCCCGGCAATGCTTCTATTTTTATTGCTGAATGGTTAGAGGATGATGATGTTTTCTTGTCTGGTATATCAGTTCCGCAAGATGAAAATGATAAATCAGCGTATATGGCAATTATTACAATACAGCAACACTTGGTTACTCCATGGGAAGATGATAGCATGTAGACCCTTTATCGGGCTGATTTGTCGGGGGCCAATTTGGTCGGGGTCGACTTGTCAGGGGCTAGTTTGATGTGGCCGTTTGTTCGTGACACGAGTTATGAGTAACGAAATCTTTTTTTTTTTTTTTTAAATATAGTGTAACAGGCCTATTTATTCTTCAGTGCAGATTTTAAAGCATAACACCACCTATTGTCGTCGGCACAGCTAGGGTGCCACCCGGGCGGTCTAAAATTTTTGCCATCCCCTTCCATTTTGTTCGTGACCGGAGTTATGAGTAGCGAAATCTTTTTTTTTTTTTTTTAAATATAGTGTAACAGGCCTATTTATTCTTCAGTGCAGACTTTAAAGCATCACACCACCTATTGTCGGCGGCACAGCTAGGGTGCCACCCGGGCGTTCTAAAATTTTTGCCATCCCCTTCCACGAAAAAATCGGCCTAATGGTTGCATCCTCTATTGAAATCACACTCAAGAAAAAATATTTTAAATTTTAACAGATGCAAGATTGTTGCATGTAACCCCCTTATCCCCCTTCCACTAAAAAACTGCAGTTGGCTGAAAATGCTACCCCTCCATGAAAGAAAATGCTACCCCTCCATGAAAGAAAATGCTACCCCTCCATGAAAGAAAATGCTACCCCTCCATGAAAGAAAATGCTACCCCTCCATGAAAGAAAATGCTACCCCTCCATGAAAGAAAATGCCGCCCGTGTGGACCCGTCCTCCGTAACCCATTCATACTCCGGTGTCAAGTATTGTTAGTGTAGTTTTATGAAAATTGTTTTAATAAAATTGTATACTGTTATGGAATAATATGATATGGATATAAAAATATACTAAAAATAAAATTATACATGCCATAGCCTTAAGAATATTATTATGTTTTTACTAAAGGGTCCGCTGCATTAAAAAAATAATATAACGTTCTTAAAAGTAGGCATATTGAATATAATCTTCCTAAAATCTGGCTAACCTTTTCACGAAAACCTAATTCCTATTTAATGCAATACTACAGTCTAGTGCACAAAAGATATTGCACTCGTTCGTACAATCGGAACAGCCAGTTTAACACTTGTCAACAGTAGTCAACAGTAATATTTGTGCTTTGACTTATACATTTCAGGCAGGTAATATATATTTAGATAATCTCATATTCTAGCTCCGAAAATTCAATAAAATCTTAATAATAAAAAGTATTAAAAAGTAATAATTTAATATATAACATTCATGAATAAATAATAATAATGGCATTAATAAATCATTAATCAAATTTAATAATAGATTAGATAGTATAGTGATTCTCAGATTCAGTGATAGGCAGGACATATTTGCCAGCCAAGCGGTAGGCATAAATAATAACTTTAAAACTATACTATACTATACTGAATTATACTGAAAACTGGTCATTTTATTTAGTATCAGTACTAGTGACTAGTAGTAGCATTAGGCATTAGTCTTTACCGGACCGTCTTTATTATAACTATAATTATATCAATCTCTTGTCTATGGACACTATACTATGGTGACTGACCATCCATGCATATTTTTAGAGTTTATGAATTTCTCCTCCTGCCTTAAATATCATAATTAATAATAGTGAATTAGTAATTATATTTGAAGCAAGCAAGAAGTAGAAGAAATCATGATTAAACGCTGAGTTTTGCCATTATGTTTTGCTTCAAGAATTTTTGCACCATGTCTCATTTTAATGAATGGCGATCCTAAAGTTTTTAGACAAATATTTTTTTTAAAAATTTTTAATTATTAACTTGACTGTCTATAGATTTACGAATGATTTGCAACCCTGCTACTATTACTAATAATATTAACTATTCAAATTATGCTATAGCCTATCATAATATGATGATTATTATGATATGTGATAAATGAACAAATTGGATTGACATGGTCAGATAACTCTTTCAACACAAAAAAACCATCATAACTTAAATGGAAGTGCTATCCCCTCCAATGGGACAAATTAAATTACATGGCAAATCATAATGAATTCGCTCTGTCAATAACTTTTACTGTCGCCTAAATATGCCTATTAGGCTTTTTTTACTTGGATTTTGTGTAAGCCTCGGCCTGCATGGTGACCCTTTTCGAGACTGAGTGCTCAAACTCAACCCAAATCCTGTTTATTTATCGCTGTGTCAATATTAAATTTAAACCTGAAATTTAGTTGTTGGGGCGACTTGGCTCATGTGCCGACAGAAAGGGTGCTGTGTTCCTCTTGCGACACATTCACCATAGGTTTGTCACCACTGGCCTAGGCCATAGACCTAATTATCACAGGCAATTACTTGATTGCATTGTCGGATTGTCAACATCAGCAATAGTGCTACAGCCCATTGAGGAGTCTGACCCTCTTCACCAGATCCTTCCACTCAAATTGATCCCTGGCTTTTTGTCTTCATGCATGGATCCCCATCATCAATCCATCTCAGTCTGCAGATGAGCCATTTGCCCTTAGGTTCTGTTTATAAATCACTTTTGATCCTTGTACTCTGGCCTCTGCATGAGATGCCCTGTCTAAGCTATTTAAATAATGAAATATGTGACTGCTCACTGCTATCCATTTTTCTAATTCATGGGGTTACACAAATGTATTTAAATGGACTATGTGGATACAATTGTTTTAGTTATAAATTATATTATTTTGTGTACTCTTGCTGTTTGCATGTAATATATTAAACATTGATCAATAAAAAGATTTATCAATAGAAGGGTTTAAAGCGCCAGGCATAAATGACATGACACTATTATGGCAGGGCTTCACCAACCCAAACCCCCCCCCCCCCCTCTTTTCGAAAAAAAATTGTAACACTTAATAGAACATTTATCATTATAGTTACAAATTAGTGACCCGCCGTCCCCCGCCCCGATGCAAGACATTATTTACGGATGGGCCCTAATTTAATTCTGTAAAAGTAGAGATTGGATTACTATCAATGTTTCATGTTTTGAGGATATTTATTTTTCCTAGCTTATAACTAGGGTTGTACATATTAAGTGGCAAGTAATTGCAAGCAACCATTGTTTAGATTGATATGTATTAACATTCTTTGACTGATTAATCAGCTAACCTGACTACAGCATATGATTTCCAGGTGTTGTAAATTTAAATGGTTTAATTGGAGCCTTGCACGTTTTTTATGGGATTTTATCACATTTGTATCATATTAGGTATGTGTAAGACTCATCATATTTTTTATAAATTTTTATTTTTTTTACTTTCATTTCATATAACTAGTAACTAGTTTACAGTAAAGTTGAAAGAATTCTACCTTGCACCAACTAGAAGAATGAAAGAATCTAAAAGATTCAATTGATGCATCACTCTTTCCAGACCTGTTTACTCTTACGATTTTGGCGTACAATGTACGATTTTGAGGTTTATAGATTGTATATGCTGTATTTTTTTTTTTACTATGAATATAACGTATTAAATGACTTTGTGGTGATATTGTACGATTTTCAGAGTTTGAGGGTAAACAGGTCTGCTCTTTCTCTTAAGAATGTTCCAAAGAATAAACCTTTTTTCATTTACCAATTAGAACAAACCCTTTTACAGGGGTAGAATCATTTAGATGCCCAGTTGCCAAGGGACCTGAACATTTTTAAATGGGACATGCATTTTTCAATGTTTTTTAGCTTTTATTTGAAAAAAAATCATACTAGAAATTGCTTTTTTTTACTGAAAATAAGGACTGGTTCTTGAATTAATAATGATATCTATCCATCAGCATCCACTTTAGAATTCTTAAAGTTAAAAATTTGTCTGATTATAGCATTATTTGTGTAATTGAGGATTTTTCCTCATTACATTTATCCTCAACAGTGCAAATACAAAAATAATGGTTGCATCTTTTATTGAAATCCCACTCAAGACAAAGTAGTTACAATTTTAACAGATGCAAGCTAGCATTGTAAATTGATCAGGTTTGCCATTATCTGTGGTGAATCTAAGAAAGTACATAACCTTCCACCATATGTAAATGTTTATATTTCTGTTTGTTCATACATTTAATGTACCAATCATATGGCATTTGTTTCATCTTCTGGATAAGTAAAAATTATTAATGAAATATTCAACTTCTTGGTGACTAGATCTTGTTAGTTTTCAGCTGTCACAAGTTTTGGCTTCATGGTGATAACAAATTTAATGATGTCATTTATTTATTTAATTCAGTGTGTATATGTTTGTTAAGTACTTAAATGAATCATGTGTTTATAACAGGTAGATAAGGAGGTGAACAGGAATAAAGTCTTCAAACATGGAGCTTTGCTTGTAAATAAGTCTAGCGGTGACAATTATTGTATTAATAAGGCTAAGAGATAGCAGAAAAACCTTGTCCAGTTGCCGTTAATCATTATTTTATTAAATAAAAATTGATTATTTTTTGGTACACAACTGTGCTAAAATAGTAAATATAGATTTCACAGATTTTTGAAACCATGTTGAAATAGGAAATCTTTGTAACATGCAAAAATGAGTCTTAATTTTTAAATAAATAATCTTTAAGGTGATTCTTCTTTAATAGGATAAGGTATCCTACAATTATTTTCCAAGAAAAAAAAATATCCTGTTGCTTCCAGGACTTTTGTCATATATCTCTCTCAGTTTATATCCTTCCTTGGCAGTGTGTATTGTGCTAGCTTTATTAGAAAAATTAAGATATTAAAAATACAACACTAGTGAAATGCTGTTTTTAAAAATATTCTCATGCTGTCATGGCATTGGTAACAGATTTTTTTTTTTTTCAAATGACTCTAGTCCACTTGCTTTCAAGACTGCATTAATGTATTCAGAGCAATAAAATGTATAATACTGTTAAGGAATGTAAATAAATTGTATATTTCTTTTTAACCTATTTATATCTCTTCTCATTTTTGTCTTCTCTGAAATCTTATTTTGAAAAGAAAAAGTTTAGAACTTTAACCCAATATCCTCATAGCAGTGACATGTAGCTAAGATATTTTTAGAGATTACCACACACATTGATATTGCTTTTACCTGTTATAATCCTTGAATGTGACTTGTAAACTTATATAATGCTGTTGATTTTTATACTCATGGATCATTGAATCTTAATAACCCATGTTTGAGTGGATTTGGCCATTTAAAAAAAAATCTTGTTGTTCTGAAAAAGAAGGATCCTACTGATTATGTCAACAAAATAGGGGGTGGGGGGTGGGTGGGTGGGGGTGGAATCGTTTGACAATTATTTTGCCGGAGGGGGATAGATTCGTTGATATCAACAATCATGTTTTCTCTATTAAAAATTTAATCTTCATAATTGACTGGTTATTACATTATTTTAACAAATTAAATGAGTGTAAGTAGTCATATAATGTTTAGACTTTTAGCAATGTAAGATTTATTTAATGTGTCTCTGTCTGTGCACTGCAGATGACTGGTCAGAATGTTAGCACACTTTGTTAGTGCAAGAGAAGTCAAAGGTTGGCAGACAATGCACCCTTGAGCATAAGAAATCACCACCTGCTAATCAACAAAAAAACTATTCGACCAATGCGAGTAGCTCCCAGGAGACAGAGAGAGCTTATGGCAATTATTGCTCACACCGGCAATGCTTCTATTTTTAGTGCTGAATGATGAGGATCATGTTGACTTGTATGGTATATCAGTTCCGCAAGATGAAAATTATAAATCAGCTACTATGGCCATTGTTACAATAGAGCAACACCTGGTTACTCCCTGGGAAGATGATAGCATGTAGAAACTATACTACAATTGTTAGCTTTACTGACAATAATCATATTTATACTTACACAAACAATGATACTTAGTCTTTAACAACTTTTTAATTGATTCTACATTATAAAAGTATAAAAACTTTTTAAATTGTTAACAAGCTAGAGATGTAATAAAACACTTTTCCTACAATTTTATGTGTCATGTAAATAGATCAGATCAGCACAAAGTAAAATGTATTTATATATTTATTTATATTATAATTTATTAATTTTTTTTTGAGGGGGTGGGTTGTATAAAATGTTGACATAATTTATTGAAAGTTTGATGGTTTTGAGAGAGGGGGGGTAAAATTATGTAAAAATTATTGATGTAATTAATGGATGCCCCCTAACTCCTTTCAATTTCAGTTAACACTATTTTTACAAAAAGTTTACTATAAAAAGAATGTTTCAACTATTTCATCCTTGTTCTATTATGGCTGGTTTATATAATGCTCTTCATCAGCATTCTGTCAAGGAATTGCCTGACTTAGGTAATTGTTCTGCTGTTTGTTACAACAATGAGGGATACATAACTTATCCTTATAATTTATTAAATTGCCTTATCATCTAGACTTGTTTTATTAAATTAATTAATTTTTTTAAAATGTGGTTCATTTGATGAAATATCATTCATGTACAAATGTTGTAACTTAATATTAATATTTATTAAAATTCTACCTAGTGACCTATTTTTTTACTTCCAAAGCAAACAAATCTTATCTTTCTTCAAGAGCTTTACATAAGTGTAATTGATTATATTTATCATCACATCTTTCAATTGATTCTTAGCGGTGCCATCTAAACAAAGATTACGGAAGCAATTCTGGTACCTACCTTCCATGACCTACAAGCTTTTTAATAAGATGCTTGTATATTTATTAATGTCTTGAATAACTAGGGTGATGTAGATGTTATAGGATTTTTATATATGCACATTTCCCTAATATTAAGTTTTTCTCTGTTTTATAATCACACTGCATGCCCAAACTTTATTTTATTTTTTATGTTGGTTGAACTGGTTTGCCTCTATTATCTGTTGCTAAATTTCCTTAACTTTAGTAATATTATTGATAAATCTTTTTATTAAAAGTTGAATTTGAGAAAGGAAAAAAGAAAAAGGCTTTTAAAGTATTAGCTGCATGTTTAATGGAAAAAATTAATCAATACTTGAGAGATGCTAAGCTTAACCCACTCTATTATTATCAATCAATAAGCAGTTAAATACATTTGGAGAATTTCGATTATCAATTTTTATTAAAAAATTCCATCGTAGTTACCTTGTTTGTTTTTTTGTGATATTTTAATTCCTTTCCCACCTTTAAAATTTTTTTTCCAGGCATTCCATTTAGTAAACAATATATGATGTCAGACCAGTCACAGTATCTAATTCCAAACAGCACTGAGGTTGTACTTCTAGATTGCCAGCAAGCATTTGAGGGTTTATCACCAACAGAGAGGCTTTATGCTCATCATCTAGCTCAGGCTGGCTTCAAAGGGGGCCTTATATGTCTCTTCCAGGTTAGTTTAGAGGTTACATTTACAATAGTATTTGGTTACATTTATAACAATAGGGGCATGTTTTATTCAGTAATATATGTATTCCAATTAATGTTTATCCATGAATTATAAAAAAAATCTGTTACATGGATAATTTTAAAAAGTCTGGATAATAAAAAAAACCATTTTGACATGACTTTTTACTCAATGCAAGAAAGTGAAAAATGATATTAATACCTACCTAGTAATTGGTAAACCTGAATATGCTATTACAGTATTTTTCAGTTTGAAATTTACAAGTGGAAGAAGAAATTAACTAATAAATTATTTTATGTTCAAAAGCTTAAATATATTATTTGTGTAGACATCTCAAGAGTCCCCTGGTATATTTTTGCTGCTGCAAAAGTTATTCCGTGCACAAGATCCAAAAGAGCTATCAGATCTTGCCCATTCTGTTGGCTTTACAGAAGATGAAGTGCAGGTTAGTAGAGAAGTCTGCACAGCTCGACACTGTTCTAGTCACATTATACTTTTAGGTTTCTATATTTTCCAAAGTTTTATGAGAGTTCAAATTTCTGTTTAATGCTCCTAAAATTATTTAAACGAGTTAACATTTAAAAAAAAAATTATTATAAAGTAAACTGTACATTTGTTTCAGGCTTTCTTCATCTATGCAGCTGCCTTCTATGCCAACATGGGCAATTATAAATCTTTTGGAGATACAAAATTCATTCCAGATGTAGATAAGGTGAGACATTTGTTCAACCTTTTCATAAGAAATTGGTCATGTCAGTTTATTGGAATATTTACAATAGTGGTTCCTAAATGGTGCTATGTTGGTTTCAAAGTTTGATTACTTGGTAACTTATAGCAAGCAGTGATATTGTAGGTTGAATATTCACTTGCCATACTAATGCCCCATTGTCAATTAGGTCAAGTGTAACTAAATTTTCATCCCCATCTTTTTTAAACAAAATAATTTTTAAAAAGAGGGTGGGGGGGGGGGGGGGAAAAAAATATGATTTAAAAATGTATGTTCAAATTTTTTGAATCTTTTGTTTGCATCAAAAAATAATGTAACAAATGATAACAGTTTTTTTTTCCATCTTTTTTAAACAAAATAATTTTTAAAAAGAGGGTGGGGGGGGGGGGAGAAATAAATCTGATTTAAAAATGTATGTTCAAATTCTTTGAATCTTCTGTTTGCATCAAAAAAATATGAAACAAAATGAAACCGTTTTTTTTCGTTGACAGTCTAAGGTGGAAGCCCTAATCAAGGCTAGCAAGGCTTATCAAGAAGATGCAGCAAGCATACAGACAATTTGGGACGCCATCAATGAAAGACTGTATTCACTTGATAGCAAGCAAAAAGAACTCGGCCTTGGTGAAAAGGTATAGTCCTAAATCATGTTAAGGACACAGTCATGAAAAGTGACCAACTGGTATATTAAGTATGCCTCATTCCAGTTGAGTAAATTCATTACCCATCGTAGCGTCATCTTTGACACCATTCAATGATAACACATAAAGGTAGTGTTGAATTTACTGATTACCACAGTTGTTCCTTTGAACACACACAACTGCACTTAGTAAATGATTTTTTTGTTTGAGTTGGACCAATTTTTAAGGCATTCATAAAAGCAAATAGAAGAGTTGGAGTTATATTTCAATTAGATTTATTAACATTGAATTGATTTTAACAACTCAACTACTTTTTTATGCATGAAAGTCTTAGCTAAATTTTTTTAAATATTTAAATATCTATATATGCTGTTGAACATTCAAATGTTGCTTGATTTAGAAATGATTGACAATCATACTTTTAATATTAAAACCTTTGGTCTGAGACACCATATTTTGTAATACATGTCACATATAATATTTGTATTCAAATTAATTTGCAATGAAGTTGTAATATATTAACAGGGAACAACTACTTATTACTCTGCTAACTGTGATGAAAATGATGCCAAAATTGCTCAAGAATTTCTGGATGCCAAGGTATATGTGATGAGCTCATTGCTTTATCTGACTATGCCCAATTAAAAACAAGATTATAAAAAGTTTTTTTTACCAGGAAATTAATTTTGAAGAAAATGTGTATATGGTCAAGTATTTATCAAAGTGACACTAACTTTGACCCCCTTGAGTGAACTGATATTCAATGATTGACTGCACTGAAAGTAATAACAAGAATATTTTTTATTTCTTTATAGGAAATCAGTCCTTACAACACTCGTCTCTTTAAAGTGAAAAATCCTGGAACAGGAGATTCTGAGTATGAGGTCAGGATGGCATCTGCCCTTTCAGATTGTAAGTATAAAACTCTTACATTATTCTTACATAATTTAGTAGATGTACAATTACTGCAATTTAAGCATTTAGTGCTGACGGAAAATTTCAGGGAAATTCAAAAATGAAAGAAAAATGACTAACAGGTATTCAGTTTTATAAAAAGATTAAGTTGCACACTATTTGAAATTGTATTAAGTTTAAACAAATCATCCATAACAGATGTCATCAAGTTATTTATCTACTATTTACACAATTTAATGTTGTAGCTGACATTTGCAAATATTTCAGTGTTATGTTCATATATCAAAACATGTTACAGTATCCCACAAGCTGTCCATTAAAAAAAAAAAACAGCACAAGAATCTTGATAAATATTCTTACCAATCCTTTTAAGCATCAGAAGTTCCAGGCTACCCTAATGGTGCAGTCTTGGGTGAATATAACTTTAAATCTCAATTTGGAGGGAGAGAATTCAAATTTCATGTCACAAGGGGAGATTACTCATCATTGATGGCTCTCATCGTTGAAGAGTTGCAAAATGCACAGGTGTGGTAATGTTAATCTTTTAATTTTTTTTGCAATTATGGAAACAATTTATTTAAAATGAATTAAATATTTTCAAAAACAAACCGCATTGATTTAAATTTGGTTTCATTTAGATTGTTTTAACAGTTTCAGTGTTCTTTTGTATACTCAGTAGTTCATGAAGTATAACTCTTGTCTATATTCAAGCAACATGCAGCGAATGATGATGAAAAGAGCATGCTTATAGATTACATCAAAAGTTTCTCTACTGGCTCACTACCAGCCCACAAAGATGGCTCCAGGCACTGGATCAGGAACAAGGGTCCCATTGTTGAAACGTAAGAATACTTATAAAGACTTAATAATAAAAGAAACTGGTTTTTGAGAATAGATTTGGATAGTAATAACTTAACAGTAACGGGGCCCAATTTTTTCTTGTGTATATTTTTTTAATGATAAAAAAGAAAAAGATAAAAAAATGAATGACGTGTTGTTTTGAGATCATTAACAAGCAAAACAAATGAATTGATATTAAGATCTTTTAATATAGTTGATTGTATTATTTTCATTACAGATACATTGGTTTTATTGAGTCTTACAGAGATCCTTATGGTGTGAGAGGAGAGTTTGAAGGTAATTTCATTCAACAAATTTTATAGTGGTCAGCTTACTCAGATGTTTCCAATACCTGACGTATGGACCAACTCAATCTGGAGTCAGGAACTAGAAGCCCAAAAAACATATAGTTTTCATCTCTCTTTATTTAAACTGAAAGCCCTTGAAATAATTTGTTGATTTTGGAATTTAATTTCGGTACTTCTGGGAATTTATATTAGGTACTCTTTGGAATTTATATTATGTACTCCTTAGGTACAAAGGCATTAAGTAAATTTGAGTCACTGTAAAGACGTTAAAACAAACGATGTAAAGACAAAATGATGTCAGTATCTCTTTGAACATTTTATCTTAATTAAACATTGACTTTATTCCCCAGGCTTTGTGGCTGTTGTGAACAAAACCATGTCTGCTAGGTTTAATGACCTGGTCACACAATCTGAACACTTGTTGGCTCACCTCCCTTGGCCTGTAGAGTATGAGAAGGATAAGTTCTTAAGGCCAGATTTTACATCATTGGACGTGCTCGGGTTTGGTGGAAGTGGTATCCCAGCAGGCATCAACATTCCCAATTGTAAGTAGTTAAAAAACCTAGCTGATATTGATTAGTGTGTCTTTGCGCATTTTAAACTATTTATTTAAACATTGGAAGAGCATAACTTGACCAATCCAAAATTTATCTCCCTTTGTTATGTCTTTTTGTTGTTGTTGAAGATCTGCCAAGTTTGATGGATTAAAATGTATTGCAAGACTGAATTGTGTATTTAATCATAGCTCTCCAATTATGAAAAGTAGTTAGCTAAAAATTTCCCTGCAGAAGTTAAAACAAATTAACACATAAATTGATACTAAATTAAGTGAAAGGATTTTGAATATGCTTTCCATTAAAATCATCAAAATAATACACTTATTTTATCTTAAAATTTCTTTAGTTGACTTACAAATATTGTATTTGTTTGTTTTTTCCCAGATGATGATATAAGACAAAATGAAGGATTTAAAAATGTATCACTTGGCAATGTATTAACATCTGGCTACAAAGATTCTAAAATCACCTTCTTGAGAGAGGAAGACAAAGTAAGTTGAGTTCAAATTTATGCACAATTTAATCCATTCTGTGTTATAATTTATTATCAATTCACTCAAAGTTATTGACATTTGTTAAAAACTTATCTCTATTTAATCTTTTTTAAAATCAGGAGTTGTACACCAAGTTCAAGGTCCAGTCTTTTGAGGTTCAAGTCGGATTACATGAACTTCTCGGGCATGGCAGTGGCAAACTGTTTGTTGAGGTAAATTTAACCAATGAATAATTATCAATTAAGTTGTATTTTTTCATTTGAAATCTATTACAGTGTACTAATGTTGTACTTATTTGTTTTGCAATGTCATCCTTACACTAAACTTTTCATAATCTTCTACTATTAGGAAGAACCAGGAAAATTCAACTTTGATAAGAATACTGTGACACATACTGAAACCAAAGATAAGGTAACTAACTTTATATGTTACTAGCCAATATACCCGGCATTGCATTTGGAAAAAAACTTCTAGAGCCTTTTAGTTAACATTGAAATAAAAGGCCCTGTAAAAATTTCTTGGCTAAAGAAAAATATTAACAATATTTAATTTACTACAATGAAAAAGGCATTCATTATAAATTGTGTAAACAGTTTTTGGGCCCAGCTCATTTCAGTTAATAATTAGCCTAATCTAAAGATTAATTTAACTTTTGAAAGTTGTACCATTAAAATAATTATTCACCAATGTCAAAGCTATGGCCGTTTATTATATAAAATAGGATCTTTTGAAAAACTATTGGTTTTTAAGTACCGGTAATCATTTTTGAAAAACTACAAAATGTTGTAGCTTTAACCATTTATCATTTAAGTTAAAAGATGGGCGTGTGGGGAGGGGTGTAATTAAATAAAATCTAGAGTTTTCCAGAAAGTTCTATATCCACCAATCCAAGTAAAATTGTATGTTGAATAAAGCCACAAAGAAATTTTCACCTTTATATATATTTATGATACTTTAATTGCCTTTTTTTAAAGTTTGCCAAAAAAGAACAACAAAGGTCCTGATTTTAATCTATTTTTAAAACTGGTCAAGGCAATTGGAACTTTATCCCATGGAAATATTTAATAAGAAATTTCCAGGAGCAAATTCATCAGAAATAGCTTATTTAAATGTGTGGAAAACATCCATTTCATATCTTAGATAACCAGTTGGTACAAGGCAGGTGAAACTTGGGACAGCAAGTTCTCCACAATAGCATCCACCTATGAGGAATGCAGAGCTGAATGTGTTGGCATCTATTTGTGTCTCCTTTCAGATGTTCTCAAGTGAGTGACATTTTTAAAACAAAAGACTGAAATTTTATGGGCCATCTCTGTTACTGATGTTTTTTTTGGTTGTTTTTGCACAATTAATGTGTGTTGATGAAAGATATTTTATAGCAACTAGTGTTGGCAGGTTCAATAAATGTATGGAATAAATTGTAATTCACTTTTCAAACTTCAAGAATACTTTTTTTTTTGAAAGCACAATTTTACCGGAAACTTGCAAATCTGGGAACCGGAATTGAAACTGTTTTAGAAAGTAATTTTAATAAAATACTTCACGCCTTATTTAAATTTTCAATGGGATACCATATGTTTTTTTTTCCAGCTTGATAATGGATAATCTCTTAATGAATGTAACAAAATTTTTAGCTTATGGAGATTAGAAATTTTAAATCAAAATATAATACATTGATTCTGTGACCAGATAGTTATGAACCTGGTATAAACTGACTGTTTTCACATAATCAAGGATCTTTGGCCACACCGGAGATGACGCTGATGACATCATCTACATAAACTGGCTAAACATGGTGAGAGCAGGCCTCCAGGCACTGGAATTTTACTCACCCGAGACTGGCTCTTGGAGACAGGTAATTTTGGTTCTTATTAGGTTCTTTTTTAAATACTATTACAGGCCAATATTTCCAGCAAGACTGAGTCGCCAGTTTGAATGTAATTTTTTTTAAATTTTATTTTGCAATAATAATTACTTGCAATGAGTTGCAATAATAATAACGGTAAATAACAGGTTTTTAAACTTTTTTGGTAGAAAAATTGTTATAAAATGCATCTCATTCTTCTCAACAATTTAACACTTGTAAAATCTTTTTTATTGTAACTTGCTTAACTTTCACTACTGGTACCAGTACATGATTTAACATGTATCATCAAAGTATAAATTTGGTTCGTCTACTGAAGTTTTAGCCATAATTCTCTTCAAAACAGTTATGTCTCACAAAATAAGAAGTCTTGGTAGTCATGAAGGTTTATTTTTTTTAAAAAGAATAATCATAGGTCAAGTTTTTGTTATGGTATATGGATGGACAATGTGGAAAAAGATCTGGCAGCAACTGGGAATCCAGGCATGAAAAAGAAAAGCATCAGTTAGGTCTGAGTGGAAGGAAGTGGTGAGGTGGGGCAAAGCCCCACACAGGCTGTAACGCCACAGGGATGGATGGATAAATTCATTTAAGAATGTGTCAGAGCTAGGTACTTGCTGTCTTGCTTTAGTAATAGTTCTTTCAGGATCTTAGTTGATATTATTTTTAGTTATTTGTTTAGCTTTCCAATGTTCTTCTTATCTAGGCTCACATGAACGCCAGGTTTGTTATCCTGCGTGTGTTGCTGGAGGCAGGAGATGACCTGGTCAAGTTTGAGAAGTTTGCTGGTGATGATGGCAAACCTGACGTCCGTGTGATTCTGGACAGGTCAAAGATCATTCCTGTAGGGAAACCAGCCATTGGTGCCTTCCTCAGAAAGCTTCAGGCAAGTCATGTATACTTTACCTTCATTGCAGAAATAGGTTTTCTTTAAACACACTCCTATATTTGTTAGCTTAATCACTTTACATTGCTTAATTAGTTTAGATTCTAACTATAGGCGCCTGCAATAGAGGAGTTATCCTTGCAAACAATTATATTTCAGGGTAAATAAATATGAATATAATTTAAATGAGGTTATACATTTTAAAAAATTATAGTCACAAATTATATTTTAAAAATGTCAGTTATATAAATATACTGGTTATTATATTTTTCCGGAGAAGCATAAAAGGGGAAATAATTGTCTCTAACAATGCATGGGCTGAGTTTAAACAAAAGTGTGGCCTTTTGAGGCAAAAGTTTGTAAACAGTGAAAGTGATTTTTAATTCTTGACTTCTTTGAGATGTTAACTGTCATTCCTCAGGTGTACAAGTCTACAGCTGATGCAGAGTCAGGTAGAAAGATGTACAGTTACTATTCTGATGTCAATGATCAGGATGAACCCAAATTCCTTAGCCTGCGTAGTATTGTATTAGACAGGAAGCAGCCCAGAAAGCTATTTGTTCAGCACCACACGTGTGTCAATAGTGAGTTGAGATATCATCTGCATCAGAAATGGTCAAATTATTTTTATTTGTTAGAGAGGGTGGGCGGATAGATTTGTTGGGTCGGTGTGCTCTGGGTGGGTGGTGTTTTATGTGAATTAAATCATTGTGCTTTGGGGTGGGTGTGTTGGTAGATAGGTTTATTATTTGGGTCAGCTGGATGGTGTGCATTGAGGTGGTGGGTCGGTGTTAGACTTGTGAGGGAATGTATGTTGGGAGGATTGTGGGTAGTGGGGTTGTGTAATATAGATATAGAGATATACCCAGAAAAAAATAATAGCGGCAGCACCAATGGTATATGTATGTGTGGGCCTATAGGAACATAAGTATGATTCATATTTTTATCAAGGCAGATGAACTACTTAAAAAGCTGCATTTTATGCAGGACAAAACTTGATGACACCCCATTTGAAAAACCATTAAAAAATTCTTGATTGAAATTTGAAAACTTTAGTAATTCTTATTTTTTCAGATGGAGAGGTGCAGCTAAAATCTTATGAACAATCGGCCAGTGGCTTGATCCAGTCCTTCACTGCTAGATTTCCCAGCACTGATATTGACAGAGTTGTTGGTGAACTTTGGGAGAAAGAAAAACCTTTCTATTAATGAAATTTTTTTTCCAGTGCCTTGTGCAAGTGTTGAACACAACTTTTCTGTTTGTTGTAACTGTAAATAGCTGTTACAACTGATTGGACCATAGGAATGCATGACCATAGGAATGCCTACTTGGTTAAAATGGTGTTATAAAAAGTCCTGGTTTATAAATTCTGCAGCTTAAAAAAATCTATTTGACATTTTGTCTTTTTTTTTTATAATTTTTTTTTTAGAACCCTTTTAAACACTATTTGTAAAACACTATGATCCTACAATTACACAGACATTTTTGTTTGTTGAAACTCCCCATGCTTTAACTTTCTTCCTTTTATTTAAAAGAAAAGAAAACTTGATTGATTTTAATTGAGTAGAATCTATCACAATCAGGCTCCGACATATAGTTCTTATCTACATCGTATTCTTTCTATGTGTGCGATGTTTATTCTTGTTTGATTCAGCTCATCTGCTGGTTGTTTAATTTAGATGTGTGCCTGAAATAGTTACAGATGTTCATTTTTGTAAAGAAAGACAGTATTAAATCTATTCTATCAATACACAAACAGACTAACAGGCAATCTCACTGCTGTTACTGAATTCACATTTTGACAATTCTGTTTAAATTTCATCTCCTCCTTGTCAGGTTTACAATTTTCTTCACTGTCACTGTTAAAGAAGAAAATAATTATACAGGCCTATGCTTGTGAACTAAAAAAAATTTAATTAATTTTAATTAGTTCATTAATCATAAATTAGCATTTTTTTATTGTGATATCTTCAAAATAGATTTGGCTCAAGGAATATTAGAGGTATTCTTCCCATGTTGTTGAGCAACAGAAAATAATTTATTTATCACCGCTATATAAAATTATGACATTTAATTTGGTGACATGACAGTCAACTATAATTGTTTAAACTTAATAATTGATTTAATGTAGAATTTCAAGAGAGAAAGTTTAAATATATATATATATATATAATAATAATAAATATATATATAGTCATCTAGAAAACCTAAGATTTGTAAATCTGATTTGATTTACTTTTAAGGATTGATTGATACAAACACATTAAAGTTTGTACATGTCTAAACAAAACAGTGTGCAGAAAATAATGTCCATTAAAGATCAGACTAGCTCTAAGACCGCCTCCGCTGTGACTGTCATAATAATGGAACTGTAAGCAGAGTTTTCATTTCATCTTGGCATGGTTTTATGTTATCATAAATTCATTAAAATATATTTCCTTCAACCAGAGTCCAGTTGGCTCTATTATATTTTGCTAGTGTTTTTATGTGAATTAAATCATGCAAGTATTGTAGATGTGTTTTGACTTATTTATTCCAAGTGTTTTAAATCAGTATACTTAAATGTATAGCAATGTAAGCTTTTACTTGAATGAATGTTTGCCAATTGTCTGTGTTTTCCAATGCATGCATGCACCAAGTGAATCCCCCTTGTCTGTAACTGTAAATATTTATGCAGACCTTTGTATCTCCTTCATCAGTTCTAAAAGTATTTATTTTTCCATCTACTAGCAGCTTACACATGATCAGTTATGTTGCATTTTAATCAAGCCTTGGACCATCCACACCCCAGACTTAGGTTGCCTGTTGTCTGACGACGTGCCCCCCCCCCCCCCCCCCCCCCCCCCCCCCTTCTTAAAAAAAAAAAAAAAAACTAAATCTCTCCAGTTTCTAAAAAAATATCCAAAAGTCAGGACAAAAAAATAAAACGAACCGCTTAGATTTGTCCAATCACAAATTGTGTTGTTTTGAAATTGAAATGTTTCTAATGTTGAGTAGCCAGCCCTTCCAAGCAGCCCATTGATTGAAGTTGAATAAGTGAACGTATGGTGGTAAGTCTCACTTATTAATTGTTAGATTGGTCACTTTGAAATGTCGCTATGGAGGGATCAATTTGCTGCTGTTACCAGACTTGTCCAGTACTGCGTGGTCGGCTGTACATGTATAAGGAGGGGAGGTTGGAGTCAGTTGTACAGATATGACGGGAGGTTGGGATCATTTGTACAGCTATGATGACTTGAGGTTGGAGTCAGTTGTACAGGTATGAAGGGAGGTTGGGATCATTTGTACAGCTATGATGTCTTGAGGTTGGAGTGAGTTGTACAGCTATGATGACTTGAGGTTGGAGTCAGTTGTACAGCTATGATGACTTGAGGTTCGAGTCAGTTGTAAAGGTAGGATGGGAGGTTGGAGTAAGTTTTAAAGGCATGAGGATGGAAGGTTGAGGGTCAAGTGTACAGGCATGAGGATTGGAGGTTCGGGGTCAGGTGTACAGTTTGGACAAAGGGAGATTTAACAGTTCACAAGGCTGTCTGTGACGGACCTGTAAAATATTACAATCAATACTTATAATATAATTTATAGCAGCAATTTCGCAAGCCCAAATACTTCAACCAGTCATTATGTCAATTCCTAAATGTGTAGTTTCTTTTGCCTTGACTTTATATAAAATCAACTCTCCATTGGAGGTAGGGGTAGCGAGATGGCAATTCAGGCGAAATGTGATTACAGTATGTAGTAATTTTATGTTTTTTGCACTTTTAAACAATTTTGGCGGAAACTATCCCCTCCCCATCTCCTGGGTGGTGGAAGCCACCCCTCCCCACCCCCTTAATGGTGGAATCCACCCCTCCCCACCCCTTAATGGTGGAAGCCACGCCCCCACCTGGAACTTGGACTTGTTATTTCTGTTCGTTGCGTCACAGCCAGTCATGGTATTGGTATTTAATTCGAGAGTTCATTGTTCATTATGATATTAGTGATACAAATTAATATTTACGGTTAACAAATTGTTAAAAATATTGTTGACCATTGATCACAATCGATGACTACTTCGCTAACAACTTAAATAATTCTTCACCATTTTTCAGCAAATCAAATCCAGTAAGTGTTTAAAAAACGAATTTTAGTCGGCGTATCATTACATTTTTACGGAGTTCAGTCCCCTGCATCACCCAGTAGAACGGTGTTCAGTCCCTTGCATCACCACAGACCAATCAAAACAAACGCATGGTGTTGACCAGGGCGACGTTTCACATTTTTTTTTTTTTTTTAAGTTTGGTGGACAAGTTTCGAAATTGTTCCAGGGCCCGGTACCAGATTTTTTAATTATATTTTCTTGTTTATTGATCATAAATTCAGTAAAACTGTGTTCAGTCCCTTGCATCACCACAGACCAATCAAAACAATCGCATGGTGTTGACCAGGGCGACGTTTCACTTTTTTTTTTTTTTTTAAGTTTGGTGGACAAGTTTCGAAATTGTACCAGGGACCGGTACCAGATTTATTAATTATATTTTCTTGTTTATTGATCATAAATACTCATGTTGTGTGGATCGGTATAAGGCAAGGCTCGTGGACCGGTGCCGGTCCACCAGTTGAGGGACGTTTGACTAGGGAATAATCTTGTTCTCTCCTTTGTTGTTTCAACACATTGCTTGAACTAATCTAGTATCTGTATTGTTTCATTTCAAATACCGGTATTCATTTTTTTGAATGAAACAATTTAAAAGTCGGCGAAAATAAGGGGCTATTTTATCCCCCCCCCCCCAACTCTAACTCACATTGGAAGTAGCTGCTCCCACCCATACCCCCAGTAGATGCCCTCGCCCTCCATACACATCTTTTCTTTACTGCACTAACCTGATAAATTATAAATTCCGCGAGTCCTTTTTGCCGGCACGGATGCTGCTCTCGCGGAAATCCAAACAGGCAATGTCTTTTCTCTGTTCCATAAGCACCAGTTGATTATCGTAGTCCCGTCCAACTTACCAGGAATGTCGTTACTGTCCAGATTACTGCCCTGATCAACATCTCGATTCTCATGATCAACTTTTGAGTCAATGGCATGTGCTAGTATTTGACCTTGACCTGTCGGCGTATTTCCCTCGGTATTGACCACGGACACCGGGGAATGTTCGGGAAATCGCTCCATGATGCGCCGGACAGCATTGCATCTGTGCAGTAAAACTCGAGTGTGCCCGTTAGGCACAAGTTTCAGCCAATATTTTGGAGGACAGTCGTACTGATAGTAAACTTTATTACCACGGACCACCGCCTTAAGGGATGCGTTTTTGGCTTTTTCTCTCGCATGAAGCTCTGTGACTGTGGGTTTGCCTTGAGCTAAGGCAAACCATTTGGACGAGATCGTTTCAGAGGAAGGGTTGCTGTTTTTGAATCGTTTACTACACATCTTCTTCGTCTGGTGAATGTCACGACGAGGCACGGCGCTGTTTGGAACGGAATGAGAATTCGTCTCGAAGCTCGGTGTCCTGATCTGAATATGGATGAGTTCTTTTACGATCTCTGACGTCAGTTCCGCGTGCGTTCGCATCACGTGCGAGTATTCGTGGTATAGTTTATCTTGCCTTTTATTCAGGTATTCCTCTTCCATTTTATTTTTAGCATAGCAGCTTAACAAACGAGGCATGCCGGTTGGTTAAATTTTTGATGCCGTCTTTGATTTTTATGAAATTTTGAAAAATAAATTTTAAAAATATAATTGTTTAAATTTCGTTGTTTTTTTCCTCACTTGACACAGTCGACCATCATAATGTTATCTTCTGCAAGTCAAAGGACGTGCATTTATCTGTGATGCCGTAGATCTATACACTTAAGTCCGAGCACTCTCTTAGCAGTAATAAATTTATTAGAAGTCTTTCGCCAAATCCTGAAATCAACGAAGCAGGCGTAGGTCTAAATCCTGGAAATTCAAGTTTCTTACTAATTTTCCCTAATTAAACAAAATAAAAAAAAAAGAACGACAAAAATAAAAAAAACTTTTCTTCGATAACAAGTGACCATAATGTTCAATTTAAACAAGTTAAATTTTCCAATGCAAAGAATAAACTCCGCGGATTTCGAATAAACTGGATTAGCTCAGCGTCTGCTGCAGGTTTCAATCAAGTCTCTCGCCCAACCCGAATGTTTTAGCGACTAGTAAACAACGGGCGACACCGCGTCCTACACGGGACAGCGGCATCATAGAACTCATTTCTGCACAAAAGCTCCCCAAAACAATACCCTCTTTTAAATCCCGCGATTGGGTTGATCAGGATCGATTAATGGCCAATCAAACCACGAGTGGTTGATTGCCCCGTGAGGCACTCACGAATAAAGCATGGGCAAGCCATTCTGCGCACCTGATTTGTCCCGTCCCCCCCCCCCCCCCCCC